TTCTGTCTCTTCCTTTCTTTCCACTTGAACCCCTCGTCTTTCAGCCATTCTCTTATCAGCCTCTTTTGTGTGGTGTTTTTCTGTCTCATGCTCTTTGCGTAGCTGTGCTGTGTGCATGTCTATGCACCTCTACCGTTCCCATACTGAGTGTCAAACACACTACAAGCCTGCACAGCACATCACATTTCAGCATATCTTCCTCCACACCAATATAACCTTTAAGGCTCCATCACAGTGTCACACTTTCAGTCTCACTGATTCACACCATTTGCAAACTTTCTTTATGTGTGTACGTGTGTGTGAGTTTGTGTGTGCTTGCCTCAGATCCAGCCAACACAGAATTGACTTCAGTTAACTGAATTAAAGTTTAACTGTGAAACTTAGACATTCATATCAGTGTATTGTGGTTAATTTCACCATCATTTGACAAGAACGTTTGCACTTCGTTTCACTGACCACAGAAATGCAGTAAAAGTGAAGCAAAATATTATACTACCATAATTCATATTGGTAAACGTGTAATTTTGATAATGGCATCGGTTTAATCTATACAATATGGAGAAGGAAACTGAAATGAAGAGGCGCACACACTTACTGGAGAATTCACACCCAAGTTTAAAGAAAATAAAATTGATGAGAAAAATTCTAAACACATAGCTTGATCCGTTTTTGTATCTAAAACTATTTAAACTTTTGCTGAAATAGTTCAGTGAATCTTTAGCTTGTATTATATTTTGAGTACAGCAGGTTAGATAAAACCCAAGCTGGCCAAGGTGATAACATCAAAGATGCCAGCACCCCGAGAGACAGAAAGCGTCACTGAGTTGCTACAAAGATGAAGAACATCAAGTGGGAGGTGTTTGTTCTTAGTTGCGGTCCTTCCCTGACTCATTGTGTGATTGCCAGACATTAAGTATGAAAAGGAGAGCTGTCACCATACCATTCGTTTAAAAATGACATGTTTGATTCATATCATATGTCCACCGATGAATATGGATATACGTCGTCTTTGAACTGCTCTAAGAGGTATTGTAAATGACATTACACTCATCTTCCGGCTTTTTGTTTCACACGTGGGTGTCGCTGACCTCTATGGGGTAATTTGGTGTTTGAAATACCAGCGTGTCTACTGATGTCTATGAAACCAGCATGAAAACAAAGGCTCCTATCATTTGTTAAAATGCATAATCTGCCTAAACGTTATGTTTAGAATATATTTTTGTTCCAAGCCACAAAAAATTTGAGAGGTAGGAAGATCTAACGGGTCAGATCTGATATCTGGTATCTGATTCTTTTAATGTCTGCCTGTTGAACAGAATGACATCTATCTGAAACTCTGCATGTAGGTCACATGCTTATGCCACATCACACTGGCATGCACAGCTACAAATAATGGTTCCAATTTTTGCTGGTTTGATAACTTTTACTAAGTTCCAATAGGGATATAGTAAAAATCTTCATGAATCTATTTGCATGTTATGATGAGCAATAGGAAGGAAGAATGATATTTTTTAATTGTAGAACTGAACTTGTAAAATGGCTTTTTGATTGATTTCCAGTTTATTTATGGACAGTTTTAGCAATTTACTTGTAAGAGTTGTGGCATTGCCTCGTTTTTTTCGGGACACAGTAAACAGCTCAGCCCTTTCAGAGATATTACACATATTCAGTTCTTGATCACAACATAATCAGCCCCTTATGTTCTGAGAAAAAATTTAATAAACGGATGTTAATTCTTCATTTGGGCCTTGTCACCAAAGAGCCAAATGAAGAAATATTTCTACTACCCAAAATCAATCATAGTCAAAAATGAAGATTTACATGAGATGCTTTAGTTATTGTGGTGCGTTATGGATGGTTTTCATCCCATGTGGAGATTGTAGATCTTTGAAAATCAATGTTGAAATCGAATCATGATTATGTTTGGCTTCAATGTTTTGCTGTTTAATTGTGTAAAGCAGCAGTTGTATTGCGTGGTAAATTGGGCCTGGCCTTGTTTGTTTCCTTTTCAAACCCAAAGAAACAAACAAGGTAATCCCAAGGTAATTATTGCATGCTTACCATTTGGCCACATAATTACTGAGCCAATACCAACTCGCATGTGTGCATCGTAAAATAAACTGCACTTTAGCGTGCTGCTTTACAGAAGATGCCCTCTGGTTTCTAAACAGTTAGGCTGGTGCTGAGCCTGCTTTTTTATGCTTGTTTTTATATTTTCTGTGGTTTTATATTTTAAGGCTTTGTATTCGGGAGTTATCTGACTCTGACTGTAAAAAGCTGACTCAATTATGTCAAGAGGAAAACTCCAATAGGTCATCACATTTTCAGATCAGACTTCAGATGGATCAAACGTTGCCACACGTAAAGGAAGCAGATATTTTCCAGGGTAAACCCTTTGCATTTCAGCTTGGTGCCCACATGCTTTAAAAAAGACATGCCGGCATGTCAGGCAGCAAAAGCAGCAGGTAGATTAAAATAACCCTGACGTGTCTCATCTGAAAACACTGTTGTTGTCAGACGATCAGAAACAGTCCCCTGAAGACTGAGTGATCGACAATGTCAAGCATGATGCAGCACAGTTTGGTTGTGACTCTGGATATGAGTCATGTTCTTCCCACGAAGGCTACAGTGCGTGCACATTAGCACCTTGTTGTTTTTTGTGTTTTCTTTTTTCTTTTTCTGCTGTGCTGTATTCCTGCAAGGGCCACTTTCTTCAAATTGACATTTTTTAACCCCTTAGTCTATTTGGGAGAAAGGGTCCTCTTGCAAACGGTCCCAGAACTGGTAGGCCTTTCAAATATTTAGCTGTCCCGCTTTGAAAAAAAAAAAAAACTATTTGAAGGACGCAATCACCATCCAAATAAATAGATCAGAGGAGCAGATAATGAAAGCCATTCCAGTGGTGTGTTTTTTAATGACAGCTCATGTAGCCTCGGTGTCACTTCTTGATATGTGAGAGAGAATTAGTGCCAATGTGACGCTAATTCTGACCACATTTTCCTTTCTTTTTGTCCCAGCGGTATGTCCTGTCATCTCTGGGATCTCCAGCAGCGCTTACAGGCCGCTGAGCAGAGCTAAACGACATTTAAAAAAAAAGCTGATTTGATGAGCAGTTTCACCCCCACGAGAACAAGTCATTCCTTCCCTGTATTAGTCGGCTGTATGAAACATGCTCCGGCTGATTCGCCCACAGCATATCAAGTCCACTTTATATAAAGGTGAAATGAAGATGGGACTGGATAAGAGCTGATGCAAACAGATACACACGTAGGAGTTACATTCTGAGATTAGTTCATCGCAGGAATAACTTAGATGTGTTGTGTTTGTGGGCCGCCCCCTCTGTAGCCCTGGCCTTTCGGTATCAGACTGAGTGTGTTTGTGTGTTTTTGGTCCTTGAGACATAAAGTCTATGAAGTAGACTTTCTGTAGCGTGGAATGCGCCGTGAGCGGCTTTGATGCTGTGCAGTTTGAGTTGTAACTGGATGTGTCTAAAAGTCGAACGGCTGCACTCATCAATTAACTTTTCCACCATCCAGTAAGGGCGTAGTTGGAGCAGTTCAAATCAAAAGAAGCTCTTTCAGGCGTGATTAAGTGTTGTTTTGACATTTGACGTGAATAAACTTTGTTTTTGTGAAATTGAATACATTTGGAAACTCTGATCTCTCTGATCTAATGAAAAGAAATATTATTAGACACTCTCTCGAGGCTAAGGAAAAAAGCAGTATAGCAACCATATTTCAGCCTCATTCATAAAATGTACTAATTAGAAAACTTGTGGTCTCAACAACACAGAGTGAAGATTTAGCCATGCTTCCCTCTCCACAAGGGCTTAGCTTTCTCTGGTGACGCATTGCAGAGAGTTTATTTTGTGTTCTTAAATGGCCATTATGCTGTTGTGATTAGATATTCACAATCAGAACGCAGAGCTTTGTCAAAAGAAAAGCTTTGGAAATAAGAGACTACTGCTCAAATCCCAGGCATGTGTTTGTGATTGTCATTTATTGTTTTTGCCGTGGGAAAAAGTGTTGCTCCTTTCTATTGTTGCTACGGTCTGCGCTGAGGGGAGGTTTTTTACAATGCGTAACATTTATTTCTTACAGCTGCAATATTTGCTTGCTCAATCAAACTTGACCTTTTGAATTATTTTTTGGATATGTTTTAAGAATATACATAGAGAGAACGTTTAAAATGTGCAGCCGATTTTTTTTTTAAATTAACAACACAATTTTAGCTCTTGTAAGAAGTATTCGGGCTCAAAATGTTCCAAAAGTTTAAACCTCCTTTGAAGATCAAAACCTTAATTTTAACAAAAGCAATCACTCTTATTGTCACCAACATTTAAACAATCTGTTGAAATTTAAGATAGATGTTAATATCCGTATTTCAGTATTTCATCAATGTTGTTCACTTAAAGATTGGAGGTTTTATTTTGTTTTGATGCCTCTTCAATTCATCTTCAGTTTGAGTAATATATTTTGATGGACAACTTTAGTAATCATAGTTTTTTCTTTTGCCAACAGCATGAAAACATAATTTTCCTGTTATTTATAGAGGATTTGTGTAATTAAATGTATTTATATACACATTATATTTATCTATATATGTTTTTTATATACGTTTCTGTAATAATGTATACATCCACACGCACAAAATATACATATTTATTTTTTGTGCCTTTTTAAAATGTCAATTAAATATCTGATTGTTTTTTCTCCTGTTCGGTTTGATTTCATTGTGCATTTTTTATTTTGAGATCACTCCTCAGAGTGCTGTATAAATTGAAAAAATAATAAGTTACACTTTTTCTTTGAGCAAGAATTTTATGTAACATTATAGACAGATACATAAAACAGAAAAAATAGATTCATACTAAATGTGTTCGTTTTCAACAAATGTATTTTTACATATTACATTTTTTTTGTATATTTATACCACAAGACCTGAAAAGCTCTAAAAAAAGACAGTTTTACAATTTTCTGTCTTCCTTCTACTTTTCTTGTAGTGGATGCTGAGCAACTGAGTTCACTGGGATCCGAGGAGGAGGATGAGGTGGGTTTGTGGAGTCTGGAGCCCCAAGACTGCCACGAGAGCCTGGACAAGACGAGTCTGACTCCGAGCGAGGGGACGGAGGAATCTGGCAGCCCCGCTCACTCCTCGCAGCAGCGCTGCCTCAGCCCTGGCGCCCGAGACTGCTGGGGCCAGGTAGAGTCCGGGGCCAAGGCCGAGGAGGACAGCACCTACCCATCCGCTGACCGGGAGGGAGACCAGGGGCCGCGGAGGATGTACTGTGAGTTATATATGAAAGTATTGCCCTGTTTATCAGATAAGCGCAAACCTGTTGCCTTTTTAACTTAATGGAACTTTTCTAAAGGCCTGACTTTGATTGTGTTCAGTCTGTTTAAAATGGAATATGCGTGCGACACCACTGTATGTGTAAACAAGCTTGCACTATTTTTTCTGCTGCAACACACGGCCACAGTCGTGATGCTTCTCAGAGCCCTGTAGATACACCTTCACATCAGCTCCTTGTGAAACCATGCCTTCCCTACAAGCTGTTATTTTTTCACTCTTCTCTTTGAAAAATGCAGCCTTCTGAAAGCATGACAAAAGAACTCATCCCACACAATGTCACAATATTTCCATGCATCAAAGAGGTGACGTTACGGTACTGAAATCAGCACTGCGCGACGTGAGGCTTTCTCTTTTATTTAGGAGAGATCAAAGGCTCACGCGGCTTGCCTACTAACAATCACTTAGCTCCCTCGCCTTGTGTGATTTGGCCTTGCCTGATGAAGGCAAAGCTGAGTTTTTACAGCACTCAACCACATAGACTCTTCCCTTCACCACATAAAAAACAGCTCAAAATATGCCAACATCTGCAAACATTTGAAAAATCTTCCTCAAAGTCACTGTAAGCATAGCTGATTGGCTTGAGTTGTGATAGGAGGCGCCCTCTCTTCTTCTTGTACATCTGTGGCTTTGTCTTTCTGCCCGCCTGTCACTGCTCTCAAGGGCAGGAACAAGAAAGGATTCTTGAATCTAGTTCCATCTCTGGCCAACGAGCTCCTAGAATTATTGTTTTATCTGTCACGCTTTACGTAAACAATTTAGTCCCATTAGAATCAGTGTCACTTTGTAATTTATCCCCACTCTGCGTTGACATACTCACACACACACACAGACTCTCACGCACAAATGTATGAACAAAGCATGTAGACATACACAAAGACGGAGACACCCTCTGAGGAATCTAACCAATGGTGGATGAAAACACAATTGCAGCCAAAGCAAGACCGCACTGACGCACCCGCTGTACAGAAAGCGGATCATCGTGTGGAATTCGGGAGGCTTTTAGGATAAGCCACAGCTAATTAAAGCAATGTATATAAAAACATCCATCTGCCTTCAAATTACTTGATAGAGCAAGCAATATAGGCTCCTTTCTCTAGTATTTTTGCTTGTGTAAATGTCGGACAATGACTTTAAATTACTTTTCTGCTAATTTTATGGATTTTTTTATTATAATTTTTTCGAAAAGATTTTAAATATCTTTTAATGCTTCTTTTTTTTCTTCTTTTTTTTGCAAAAATCACCTATAGGACAGAGTGTATCTGGTTTTGTTTCTCAAACTGCTGTCTTAGTTACTCTTAAATGTTCCAGCAGGTAAAAACTTAGACTCCCACAATGGCTTGGAGGATTTTGCCCACTTTGAGGTCGTGGCCCAGTTGAGGAAGGACTCTACCCCAGTGAGTATTTTGAACCACTTGAACCACAACGGCACGTCGGCGTCCTTCCATCCGAGCAGCAGACATGATGAACTGCCACCTGCCATCTGGTCACCAGGAGCCCAGCGCTGCTCACCTGAGGGAGCAGGTACGCCCACACCCCACAGCCGTTGAGACACTGATTAGGAAATAAATAAATAGGATACCAATATTTACTTTTTAGCCAGGCAAGGGTTTAATACTCATTAGGAAACACTCAGCTGCAAACTGATAAGCAGGACTGATAGCTTGTATATCTGATTTTCTGTGTCAATATCACCATGAGAAAAACGGAAAGAAAGCAGCGGCTCTGTAATGTCAGCCTTTTCACAGTCTGCAGTCTACCAATGAACCTTCTTCAGGACCTTCTTCAAATGTTCACAGTTACAGCAGTTGCATTCAAATATATTCATATATATTAATTCCTGTGCTATATCTATTTTATTTATTTAGTCAAATATTAGATTTACCTGTATGCATTAAGCAGACATATCCATATAAAGAAACATACAAGGATATATTGAAATGTATCTACTTTAGCTCATCATATTATAATTTAAGAAATTCTCTCAGTGAATTAAATAACTAATCAGTATCAGACATTTATATATTTAAAGGGTAGGCTGTGATAAGTTTTACTAGTTCTACTGGAAGATATGAAGACTGTAAAATCATTCCCGTGAGCCGCCTGGCAAAGAGAACCCCTGAACGAATGGCTTTATCACTGGTTTTGGGAGGCTTCTTTGTTTTTAAAATGCCACATTATTTCTGCTCGGAGGGATATGGATATATTTGTATAACCTACATTTTTGGTGACTGGTTTAACTGCCAGCTGTGCAAATATTATCTGACTTGCTCGTGGTTTGCCAGCTTCATTGTACTGGAAGCCAGCCAAGATGCACTAGTGTTTGAAGAAGTAGCAAATTCAAGAGGTTGCTGAGTCTCTGATTTCCCACAGTGGCATTATCAGTTATGACCACTGACTTATCCTTGCCCAGATCTATAGATGGCATTAGCAAAGATATAACCACTGCCAAATTCTTAGCTCCGATAACTACCATTCCATAAAGATACTGTCCCTCAAGTTGAGAGGACGACTCCTTATGTTTGTGTAAGATCATCAAAAAGTGGTGATATCCTAAACACGACTATAATGAGAGCGGTCAAACAGGTTGGAATATCTGGTCAAAATGTCTGATCTTGTGACGGTCACAAGGTCAATGATAACCACAGCATCAAAACTGCTCCCAAAAAGGAAAATAAATAAATGAAAAAGAACGCAAAAATTTGCTCAAACTTTCAGTTAAAGGAGAGTCACTAGCATATACTTTAATGTAGTACTATATAATATATGCACTCATGTTCTACTATATAGGAGTAGAACATGAGTGTAAATGCACTCTGTTTCACTCTGTGATATGCTGCCAGACTGTCCAGTGTGTGCTCATGCGTGTTATAATAGATTTAAGGCCCCACAGCTATCAACACTGTTATATGGTTTATAGAATGGATAGATTTAATGAACATGGAAAAAGTAATTAGTCTTTGTGTAAAACGTCTCCTCTCTCTGGCCTGCAGATGCAGACAGGTGTCAGCAGGCGTGTCCATTCTGCCACCGAATGTATGAGCGAGGAGCCTCCCTGAGGGACCATGTTAAATACTGTCAAGAAAGGGAGGGGGGTCACATGGTTTGTCCTCTCTGTGGATACATCACCACCCTTAGGTCACAGATGGAGCGGCACCTAGCACTACACAACCAAATCCAGGACAAGGTGAGATACACCCAAAAAGAAAGTATTAGTGAAGTCCTCTCAAAACTGCCATCATATTTGATTTAATCTCACATGCTGGTTTATTTAAAAACCTTGATATCAGTACAAAACTGACAGCATTTTGTTCTCTTAGAGTGGCATCACATTGGAGCAAGGCATGGAGACCAGAAAATTCAAATGCCTGCAGTGTGGGAAAGCATTCAAGTACAAACACCACCTCAAAGAACATCTTCGCATTCACAGCGGTGAGACAGAATAACATCAAAACAGCTGTACTCACCCATCAATTTGCTTTTGTCTTCACTGTATTGCTAACCATTATTTATTGCGAGAATTACATGGTATGGGAATAGAACCAAACTGATGTGCTGATAGAAAGCCAGTAAAAATGATTCAGTACAGGACGAGATAATTATGGAAAAAGATCACACCCATTCTGAAGGTATTTTCAACTTCTTCATGACTTTCCATTTGCCAATGCCTACTCTCTGTGTCCCATCATTTAGGTGAGAAGCCTTACGAGTGCTCAAACTGTAAGAAACGCTTCTCTCACTCTGGCTCCTACAGTTCCCACTTAAGCAGCAAAAAGTGCCTGAGCGGAGGAGGAAATATTGGGGGGAACGCTGGCGCCACGAGCGGAACATTCAACGGACATAGTCAAAGCTCTTACAACCACTCATACCCGACATCTCCCTCTGCTGGCGGGGGTGGATGCAGTAACGACAAGAGCTCTGCGCCGGCTTCACATAGCCAGGATAGCGCCGTTCCTTTTGGTCGACACCCCGCAGATCCGCACCAGGTTTCACTGCAGGACTTCAACTCCAGCACCGGCGGTTTCCCCGGCGTGTCAGAGCTGGCTAGGCTCTGGGATCCTGCTCAGGAGATTTCGCGAACAGCCAGTTTCCTAAAAGGAACAACGCTGCTGCCTTACCTTCACTCAGGGACCAAATTTGAACAGATGCTCCAGGACATGCTTCATAGAGACGTGAAGAGGGATGAGGAGATTGTCAAAGGAGATGAAGAGGAAAGGAGGTTGGCTCACAATGGAGGGGGGTTTGAGAAGAATGCGCCACTTGACAGCCGGAGGGAGGCAGTGGCTTCCGGGGAAGTGGACAGAGGTGTGCTTGGGATGACCTGTCGCTGGTGCTCTCAGCTTTTCCCCAATGTGGCAGTGCTCCTGCAGCATGAGCGCTACCTCTGCAAGATGAATAGAGAAGCAATGGAGGTACCTGAGGGTGTTCGAGGGAAAGACCACTCCTCTCTCCCGTTGTTTTACCCCATGTCTGCAATCCAACCAGACAAAGTCAAACCAAATGAAGTTACCAATGGGCTGTCTGGAAAAAAGTCTCCATTACAAAAACCCAACTGGCTCTCTGTTCCACAAAAGCTTATGGTTGCAATGCAGTCTCCTCCATCCCATCACGAGGCCATGTCCTCACGCATGTACTGGCCCAGTCAGGAAAAGGGAAGCCCAGGTCAGCTGATACACCAATCCCCCGAACCGTCGTCACTCAGAGGCAGAAGAAGAGTTCCATCCTCAGGGTTTGGTTCTCCGCCTCCTTCCTGCTTTGAGCTCACCGGCTGTCCACCGGAAATCTCATCGCCCACGAGAGATCCGGGCAGTCCATGGTCGGCACAGAGTGAGCCGCTGGACCTCTCCATGCCCAAGGCACTCTCAGAGCAGAGGGGGAGGAACAGAACCCCGAATGGGATCTTAAGCAGAGGAGAGAGAAGAGAGTTCAGGACACAGCATCTTCGGAGACCAAGCCCAACGACACATCTGCCCCTGCACCAGCACCCAGTCTTCAGTGGGACCAGGGCTGCTGTGTTTCCAGCTTCTTTATACAATGGGTTTCCCATCTTCAGCCAATCCGGTGTTGGGCTTTCAATGCACAATGGCATAACACCAGCTCCATTCAGCCCCACGGCGAACAGCCCAGTGTTTCCTTCTCCCGTGGCTTTCATGATGGAAACAGATGCAGATGTTGCAATGAAAAACATCTACCAGGACAGACAAGGTCTAATGGTGAGAATTTTCCTTTGAGGTTTCAAAAGCGCACTCACCGTAAAGAAGAATTTCAGAGTTCTTCTTACACACACAAAAACAATTTGAGCACAAACTTACATGTTCTTGTTCCGGTTCTGTTGTTTCTGCTGCAGGGTGAAGGTTTTAGTCGCAGTGCTTTGGACTACCTCACTCTAATAGATGATGGGTTTGAAGGAGAAGGTGGGTCCGGAAGAAAAAGGCTGAGGAAGACTGACGAGGGACTTTACGCCTGTGACATTTGTGAAAAAACCTTCCAGAAGAGCAGCTCTCTGCTTCGACATAAATATGAACACACAGGTCTGTAGCTCATGCAATAGTGACGTTTCTTAATGAGGATCAATAACTACAGTATTTGATTCAAGTCAAAGAACTGATATTGTTTTGACGGAAAAAATCTTAAAATGAGAGTTGAAAAAGAAGGTAAGCTGTGGTTTCAGCTAAATATGAAGTTAGAGTCAACAACTGCTTGGCCTGTTGAAACAGAAAGGAATGACGTATTAAACTCAACTGTATAAAAAGTAAGAATACAACATATGTTTTTTCTTAAAGAAATAGAATGTTTTGTCTTGTTTACATGCTCTACTGCTAAAGCAAACAGTTAAACCTTGATAGTCTAATACATTCAACAGGAGGTTGTTGGTTTTACAGGCTAAAGATTGATGTCACACTTCTATCTTTTTGATGAATGAGTTTCATACCCTGCTATACTGGGGCTGGTTTTGTAAGTTCTATTACTTTTAGTCAAAGCAAGGTTTTCTTAATGCTGACAGTCAGAGCACAGAGCCCAAAGATTAAAAAAGACTTTCAGACGGTGCATTTAGAAATGTTTTCTTCCAACTTTGTCAAACTTGCATCAAAATATCAATTAAGTTAGTTGTATTTCCTGTGTGCAAAAATCCAATACCTAATAGTCTTTTTGCCATTATAGGCAAGCGTCCCCATGAGTGCAAGATCTGCAACAAGGCCTTTAAGCATAAGCACCATCTGATCGAACACAGCCGGCTGCACTCCGGAGAGAAACCCTACCAATGTGACAAGTGTGGCAAGCGCTTTTCTCATTCGGGCTCCTACTCCCAGCACATGAACCACCGCTACGCCTACTGCAGCAAAGACCAGGATCCAGACCAGGACCAGGAGGAAATGCCCCTCACCCTGAGTGCAGACAGCAATTTGGTGGGGTGCTCCGATAATACCCCACTGTCCATGGATGACATGCAAACTGCCCACTCCTTCCTCAGCGACTCCAGTTTGGATGGAGCACCGGACACTCTCAAAGAGGAGGACGAGGAGGAAAGAGTTAGTGGGGCACAAATGAGTTTGTCAAAGGAAGAAGACGAGCTGATAGACGGCTTTAAACAGGAATCACCAGCGGGGGAGAATGGAGTGCCTAATGCAAAACACAGCTATGATTTAGGAATACATATTGATGATACAGACAACAACCTGTGGGACAGAAAAGCTGAGGACCAGAGTAAAGACTTGGACAAATGTGAACTTAGCCTGGATTTAACAGAGTTACCAAGAATAAAGACTTAAGCTGACTTTATCAAACCATTTCAATGCCTTTATCTACATTCTAAGACTTATCATTTCTCCCCCGCATATATAACAAAGTGTTTTACTTATTATGCAAAATGAGAAAATGCACAGAATTGCCAAAGAATACTTGCAAATAATCCTTATTGTAATGCTAATTTCAGTATTTTATCATGTAAAATAGACTTGGTGTTGTAAATAGTATTGTGTTTGCTCTGTTGCCTGTAGTTGGTTTTCTTTTTTTTAAATGTCCATAAAAAAGACAGTAAAAACATTTGGATTGACTGATTTGAGTATATGTCGCACATCCTGATGTGACATCACTATATTTAAATGCTTGCTGCTGCTGCTGCTTTCTGTTGCACAAAGGAAACAAAAAGACATATTTCTGCAATTAAATTTCAGTACAGTTTGAAATAGTTTGATAGGTTACAAGTAGGTTCACACCAGTGCATGGATCGAGGATTGAGGGCCCATGAGAAAAGCTTGCAGAGCAGGCATTTCTCATTGGCCATTTTTATTAAACACCTTGTGATTATATATATATACTTTTTTTTTTACGGGGGCCAAAACTATTCAATATACAGTCTTTTATAATATTATTTGATACTTCTGTTTTAAAAGTTAGGAGTAATTGTAACGTATGAGTCAAAACGCACATGCAGCTGTTACATTGTGTTAAAGCTTGTGAGCATTGGATTAAGGACGATAGAAGTTAGAGATACAGACTTTTGTCATTTATGCTGTGAAATCAAAGGTGCAACCAACTCTTCTCTTCAGGTCAATCACAATGTTCAGTAGCTATCAGCCAACAAGCAGTGAAAGGAGGAACCACTGAAGGACGGCTCTTTATGTATCCCTCATGTAAAAAGCAGCGAATTGCACATTCTGAAATGTAAGCCTTGCTGGGAGAACAGTCATTTCTGTAGCTCTGCTTGAGATGTTAACAGGGGCAAAAATGAAGTCAGTGTCCTGGGGGGTTTTCCCTTGAGACAGCAGATTCACTGCGACCGCCTCTCTGTTTGTGTGCTAATCACATGGAGCCGCTTGATTTCATTTCGTGCTATTTCTTGTTTGCTGTTTCTCGTAATGATTTACATTTGCTACGGGCTATTTTTACTCCCCTGGAATGATTAGGTGTCACACATTGAGGCTTTTGAGTTGTGGCAAGAGGGTCAATACTCAGGACATACTGTATACATCAGTTTAGAACTTCCTCTTTCTGGCTTAGGTACAGGCTGTGTGAAAAGTGCCTCAGATGTACTCAGACACTGTGAGCCATCCGACAAAGCGTTGGTACGATGAGATAAGACGGTGGTGCATGAGGTGTGACTAAGCTTGCAGTATTCATGCACACTGCTCGCAAGATACACTTCTTGGTCATAACAGGTTTGTGTGAGTGCGTGTGTATACCACCACAGATATTCATTGTGACATGGCTGTTACTATCTTGCATAGTTCCTTACTTTGTATTTTTAGGCAAAAGAGGTATCTTTTCTCAAATTCTGCACAATTTTTCATAATATACAATATGTCTGTTTTACAGTTTACCAAATCAATTTTGTATTGACTTTCTATCATTTTTTGCATATTTGTAATAAAATTGTACATAATTTGTCACCAAATTCTTGTATTTCATTTATTTTTCTAATTAAAAAGGTAAATATTTGTCTCGTCTTGTCCTGATTTATGGTCTCCTATCGCAGATTTCATGAGACTGATGTTAAAGATCCTACAGTTATTGTTTAAAGTTCTCTGAAGGTATTTAAGGTAGCTCTTTTAGTTGTGGCTGTGACAAATGGGTGGTGTGTATTTAATTAAAAGCTCTTTCAAATGAAACGTTGCTAAAAGACCAACTAAATGAAACATTTATTTTTTCATTTTCTGAAAATTCAACCTCTGCTCTTACATCTGCAGGAGACAGGCTGTGGCCAGGACCCCTCAGTTTCCCATCACAGTAAACACTTTCTGAAAGATCTCCAGAGTGCTTTCTCGCATTGTGCTGTATGTGGCTCCTGTTTGCATGATGATTCATCAGAGGTGGCTGCTTTGCTCTTTTGTGAACCTCCGTGTGGAGCATGGGCTTGCAGAGGTTTTGGGTTAATGGTAGGTTGACTAAACAGCCAGCTTACCGTAACATTAACATACTGTGACAGTTGACGGGGTGCCATGCATCAGCAGTGTTCAGTCAGCTGTAACACCAAGAGCTGGAGATGTCAGGTAGCAGGTCTGCTTTGCAGTAAGAAGTCCTTTATTTGGGGGTGGCTGGGTGGGGGGGGGTCAGGTTGACTGAGTGGGTGCAGTGCATTCTTAAGTTTCAATATCTGGTAACAGCTGTTATCACAGCCTTAGATACAGATCAGTGTTTGGGGGGAAAATTTCTCCTGACACGGTTCATTCATTCTGCCTTGTTTAATTTACAAGCCAAGTAAAGGAGGAAATGTGAAAGAACTGGTAAAAATGACAGACAGCAGCATTCAAATCTAACTATATGCCTCCCTCGGACACATTGCTTGCACAATTACGCATTCAATTACACTTTCCAAAAGGGTTCATTCAAATTTGGACAGTGAAAATGATATTATATTTGAGAGCTGCTAGGCTGAAAAACATGTTACAGATGTAAACACTTCACAGCTTTCTGATTTACTTCGTTCCACAGTTATTCAGAAATAGTGCACAAACCAAAAAACATTTTGTTTCAATGATGCCACAAACAAAATAATCACCTACAGATGCTAAATGGTTTTGGAAATAATGTAGGGTTGTTGCATGTAATCAGTCCAAGTGTCAAAAATGTGTTTTTGTAAGCAAATTTCTCCCTAGGTTTGCAGGGCTGCTGCTGTTTAGGGTAACATTTCATGAGAAAGAAGCAAGATTTGTGTTTTCCAAGAGAATACATGTTTTTAATGAAAAGAGATACCATCATAAAATGTGTTTTTAATTGAAAAAAGGATGAAGAAAGAAAGAAAAAGAAAGAAATGTATGTAATAGATATTTATTCTTGCTGCAAATGATGTGCTGATTAGGAGGGAGGACTGTTTGATTGTCTTTCTGACAGACCTATTCTACTTTTAGTGGGTGATTAGTTCTGTCACACCAAAGTTGTGTAAAACACATTCCAAGGCTCACTGCAGCAGTTCAATGACGCTGGGGCTTTATTGATAGAAAGTCTCTCCATTCTCCGATGTGAAGCAAGATCAAAACACAGTTTTAAATCTTTCAGGCTACCTGATTTAATTTTGCACACTAAAATTAGTGTACAAATCTAAGGTAATGCAGGGAAGCACTGGTTGAGTGCTGTTGACAAAACGTAAAAAAATAAAACCTACTTTCTGAGGGATGCACATGTAAACTTTATGAATAGACATGAATGCATATATTTGGATCAAATAAACAAGTGCGGTTTCTCTAGCCAAACTGAAATCTTTCTTAGTCAAGCAAGTCTGAGGATGTCCTTGGCAGTGGACAGGATCAAGTTAAGACAACTCCTCATCAATCAGCTACACTCAGCCCGAGCTCCTTCCAGCCGGCTCACATGACTTGAATCGATACAAACACAAAAATGAAAGAATACATTTAATAAAGCTTCAACAACCCCTCACCCCCACCCCACCCCCCAGCAGTGCCTCCATTCAGCCCCTTTTTGTCTTCTGCCAAACCCACAGTCAATATAAAATTACCCAAGCCGCAGAGTGAGAGGGTTTGAGGGGAAAATCCACATTTTTAAAACATATGCATTTCCAGTTCCCCTTTTGTTCTGTTATTAAAAGCAGCATTTGCACCAATCACAGGGGATGCCTCCCCCCGCCCAGTCTCCGAGGCCCACATACTTCCACACGCCTCTGCTATCTGTCACGCAACCAGCTCCTCGCCACAAACAATCAGACTCATCCTGGGCAAGTATCACAAAACAGATCACATAGGTTTGTTCACATGTTTTTATTGGAGGAGAGTTTACAATCAGGCCAGAGTCACATTTTAACAACACACTCTTCATCTCGAAGCAAATGCATCGGTTGGAATTTGTCTAACAACAGCGAATATTTACGTTGCAAGCTGTGTGCAATGTGCTACTAAGTATCTCACATATTTACAACTTAATCACTTTAATTTAATACAAGGACTTTGCGCTAATAAAAATAGAATGAAATTTGTACAACAAGGAAAGCTGTGAGGGTCCACACTCAACAAAGTACTAAAAAGAACTGTTGCTGCCCTGTTGGCACATTCACCCCATCACTGAGATCATATCTTTGGAGAGTTCTCTCGAATATGCCCCTAAACTCTCTATTTTGACTCTATATAATGTCAGTGCAGATGCGTGAAGCCTTACTTGACCAGCCTGCCTCTTCCTGCTCCCCGTTTTTCACACTTAACGCTGCAGGTGGGATCTGTGGTCCGTCTTGCCAGACATGCTGGTGTTTGTGTTTTCACAGTGATGTGGTTCTGATAAGTTTAGTTTCAGTGCTACTTCAGGGCTCATCCCTCCTCACTTTCCATGTCCAATTACTGTGCAGGATATTTATCAAGTTTTATGGCTTTTTGTTCATCCTGATCAAATCTGAAACGTTGCGAGCTGACAGAGAGCTATCTGCAATGAGCTCCACATCTGTGCTCAAAGGCTCAAGTACTGCAGCTAAAACGGGCATGTTTTTCTATTATTGTTTTAACACGGGTTTATATGGAGGCCAGATGTCGTGATTAGCAGCTTTCTGTCCTGGTTCTTTTTACCCCATAATTATCTTTTGATGTGAAATCCATTTTATCCCATACGAGTCGAGAGGCATTGCTGCAATGCTTATGCTTTTGTCTGATCTGCAGGAGTATAAAAAGCTGCCACCTCCCTCTCCTCATGACTGTGAAGATCAAGAGAGGCCTCTTGTTCTGAAGATGTGGTCATACTCGCTGAGGATGAGCTCTACCGCCTGATTCTGGTAAACCATGTTCACCGCCATGTTGCCGTTATCCCGCTCTGGGCGCATCAGTGTCGGCCCAAACACAATACCGATGTTCTGGGAGGTCATTCTGTTGGTGGTTGCATGTTCCAGGACTCTGCAGGGGACAAGAGAGTGAAAGATGCAGGGTTAACACAACCTCAATTACTGAAAATAAGAGGACAATTACAAAAATTAGTTTTTGACTTGACCCAGTTTCTAAGCTTGCAGGCTAAGTCAGTGTACCACTGTGGTCCACATCAAAAAATATAGCTGTGGTGAAGTTAATCATAAAATGTTGTGTGATTTTTTTTCTACGTCACACAATAAAAGACAAACTCACTTTGACAAAGCGTTTAACACACAACCAGTTATACTGCAATAATTAACAGTCCAGTCTGGAAAAAATATGGGAATGTCTGAGGTAATGACTTCTCCAAAAGTTATTTGAAGTCAGGCTTTCATGTGCAGCTTGTATTGGTGCTGCTTGTCCTGAAAAGTAATGATATGTAAAGTCTGGTTAGTAACAAAATGTGTTGTTCTCGTTGCAGATTATTTTGTGTGGCCAATACCTTGATCACAACAAATCACATGACAGGCTGAGAGTACATGGCTGCATGTGGCATAAAAAAAAGACAGATTTAGGCCCATCTGTGTAAACGCACAAGTTCCTATTATAGTTTCCACAAGGAAAACCATATTCCAGGGATCGCCATCTCCAAGAGAGAGAGTATGCAGCACACTTGCGTGAGAAATGAAGTCTGCACGCTCTGAAGAAATTACTACATAAACGCTGGTCCCCAGAAAGCGGCACATCCTCCGGGCATGCGCACCTCATTTACTCGAGCTGCAACAGGTATGAAAATAATTCTGGAGATGTGCAAAGGTAGAAAATGATGCAAAAGACTGAAAACTATGTGTTAATCAATATCACAGCTTTTACAAAGTATAGAATTTCACACGTGTTGCTTCTCTCTCTGAACACGTTAAAAATCATACAACATGCACACTTAAAAAGAAGTGAAAAGAGCCCAAAGCTAAAAGCAAAACACCTGCAAGCTAAGCAACAGCCTCCCCAATACTTCTTCTGTATACCGCAAAATATACTTATAAAATAAGGAAACCACTACATCCAACTCCATGCCTCAAAACTCTTGTACTTGTACGTTTTTTGGGGGACAGAAGATTAATATCCTGTCAAAAACAAACAAACACAGGACAGTGTGGAGAGCTTAAAGTGTGTGTGTGGAGACTGATTATCAAAACGTTGTCAAAAGAGAAAAAGGCAAGGTAGCTGGCAATTGCCTAATGAACAAGAAAGGTTTTTCATTGCAGTGAGAGCACACTCAGCAGAACTGCTAAAAAAGACGAGCACTAACATTCTGTTATGTAGAAAGTATTTCTGAGGAATGAGAAATTAAGGTATTTGCAGATTTTAAACTCTTCCAGCTTGCACTGAGTGATGTGTAATTGTGCTCAGAGGGACATGGATGTATAATTTTGTGCGTTATTAGTTTTGACAGATGGTCTACAATTGTGAATAAGACCAAGTTTTAATGAGGCCAAGTATCCTGATCATTTCTTAAAAGTCCACAGACTTTTACAAGTTTCTGCATTTCACTAACAAATGGAATGACTTTGCTTGTTTTGGTGATCCCTGACATATTCAAAAGGGCCACCGTGAAGTTGACATTTGTGGCTTTGAGTAAAATGTCTCCACCACTCTTGAATGGAGTCCCATAAAATCTGCTAAACAATGTCATGGTCTCCTTCAGGAGCCGCTGACATAGCTCAGATGAAGCTAGCAAATCAATGAGGTGTATTATGCTTTTTGACCAAAAATCTCTTGCCCTGCCAAAAAAAAATAAAAAAACAAAAAATCAGTTGTAATTCATGACTTCTGCATATATAAATAATGCTGGCGAGTAAAGTTGCCAGCATATAGATAAAGTACGGATCTTCATGATCATGACGTAACATATTTGTCATTCAAACAAAAACTTGCAACAGCAACTCAAAGAACCTGTTAGTATATCAGCCAGCAACACACTCCAGTTACATGCATATTGATGTACATGCAAGTGGGTTTTGCCGAGTAGATTTGAGCACAAAAATGTTTTAAAGCCACAGCCTGTATCCACCTATGTTGGTGTGTTTGAGTGTGTGTGTGTGTGTGTGTGTGTGTGTGTGTGTGTGTGTGTGAGTGTGTGTGACAAGGGGGGACTCAGGAATGGTTTAAAGCCACAGCATGAGGCATTCTTCTAAAAATGCCATTCCCACCAAGCCACAGAAGAAGCCAGCAATTGCTCACAACTTCCACATTAAAAAGAGAGGAGGAAAAAAGGAGAGGGAAGAGGAAAAAAAGACGAGAGCGAGGAAGAGGGTGAACAGAGAGAAAGAGAGGTTCCAGTGGTGGCGGCGGTGGTGTTGGTATGCCTTCCAGCAGACGAACCACAAGGCTCCCATGGGATCTTCGAGGCAAGAAGGAGAGCGGAGAGGAGAAGAAGGAGGGAGAAAAAGAAGAAAGGGAAGGACAAAGGAAGGGAAAGAGTGAGAAAGACAGAGAGGAAGTGAGGAAAAGAAGATAGTGGGGGGATAGAGGAAAAGATGAAGGGGTGATTGAGCTGAGAGATAAATGAGAAACAGAACAAAGAGAGAAAGGAATGACATCGGAGAGAAAATAAGAGAAAGACAGAGAGTTGACAAATTCATGGGGCCCACCACACCCTGGCACAAACATCGGCCTCAGAACACCAACGCTCACCCCTGGAGTGGAAGGAAAAACCATAGGCGGTAAAAAACACACATTTTATGTACTGTAAAAGGAACTGGCTCGAAGAACTTGGGAGACCATTCATCTTCCGCCAGCCTTTTCATCTTCACAGGGACCCATACTTAACAACAGTGTGATCCTGGTACAGCACTGGCATACTTTGAGAGCCGGGGCCAGAGAATCCCCGACTGAAAATTACAGAGACCCACGTGGAAACTACCCCCTCTTGTGGTCAGATTTAAATCGGAGCGTTATGAGGAAAACCTTTTTTCTTTTTTTACTATCGGGTCTGAAGTAAAAACAATTTAAACTTTGATTAAAACTCTCTTTTACAGACATCAGGCCTATATGTCATTCAGTTTCCACCCTCTCACCGTCTGAGATGCCGGCACATGAACTGCAATGTGTCGTGGTTTGGAGGAGGCATGTTGAGCACCAGACACTTCAGGCGATCCACTTTTTCCATGTGATCCGACATCTCTGCAACACAGAGCAAACAAGATGTCATATCGCAATGAATGTCGTCATTTACGATCTAGGTCCCGTACTTTGTCGGTATCTGAAACCTGATTTACATATCTGCTAAACCGATGTGAATCTAATCCGATACAGCAACATGCAGTCAAATATCACCCCTCTTGTATGCTGAACAGTGCAGAAAAAGCTGCTGCATAAACTGATAAAAAAATATGTATTATGAAGTTTCTTTTTCATCTCCGTGTGAATTGCCGGATTATCAGATGTCGTGATAAGAATCAATAACGCATGATGAGACACATTGCCATATCATAAAAGTTAATGCAAATGAAGATAACAGGAAACATTTGCTTTCTTTTTTTGTCTAATTACTGTCAGTATATCTCTTGTAAAGATCATAGCTAATGCCTGATTTTGTGAAATGGGCCGTTGATGGGTGTAGATGAAAAACTACTATAGGAACCATCAGGCGTCACAGCATGTGGTCGTTCCTACTATGGGCATGTGCTGGGAACTGTAGCTTCTCTTGATTTATTTCAGCACACATACGATACCGCTGCTGTTGAACAAATGCACTGAAGATGCAAAATATGCCTAAAAGTTATGGAGTTATTTTATAAAGACATTTCGTTTCATACACATGCTGGCTGTTTTCATCTTTTGGTGTGAGTGAGTGGACCGCCATGTGTAGTGGTAGGGAGCTTCCAGAAATGAATGCCTGCATTTCTGTTTAGTTTCTTGTAAACAAAAAAAATCCCCACAGTTATCTGTTAACAGGTGGTGTATCAAGCACACTGATGATGGAAACGTGCACAAGCTTTTGCATTTTTGTGGCAACAATTCAAAAGTTTATATTCAAATTATGTCTGGTTTTGAGCTCTTTTTATCCATGCTCAATATGTTTTCTGAGAATTTATTACATTATATGATGGGCAGAAATGTAACAATAAAAGCAGAAAGGTTCACAGTGAGAACATCTGGAAACCTAGGTCAAAGAAATTAGCTTCAAACCACAATTTGACTAAGTGTGTAAAGGCTGAAGTAAGACAGAGAGAACACTGCCTTTGTTTTGACTCACTAGGGCCACAACTTCTATTGTGCAAATTGATAATAACACAATATGATAGAAAAACTAATGAAATAAATTGAAAATGTCTCCTTCTTGATAGTGGAGATGCCTAAGAGTCTCATTTTGCAATTTCGTCTTGTATTAAAAGTATCAATAAATCAATAAATCAATTAAAAGTATTTAATTAACCTTAATTTCCTGAGGGAGTCTTCCCAAGGGATCAATAAAGTACTGTCTAAGACTAATGTCTAACATTTCTCGGGTAGAATATAACGATTCATTGGATAACTCTGATGCAAACAATGATGCTGTTCTAACTTCCTATCCACTTTGTAAGTTGTTATGAGGTAAGTAAAGAAGTATTCCTACCATAAAGGCCTATTTAAGACTTCCGCCACTTCACAGTCTTACACACTGTGTGGAGCAAAAGGCTGAATTCTAACATGTAGACGGTGTCAAAAGTGTTGAAAGTGGTCACTCACTGACTGTCTCCACAATGTCAGTGAAGAAGCCGTAGGGCACCAGGGGCTCTGGAAGCTCACGAAAGAAAAGTTTCAAAGCTCCCGTGATGACATGAATGTCCTCCCACTCCGTCTCGTCCAAATTCAGCTTCTCCTCTGAGACGCGGGGGGTAAAAACGGGGGAGGAGAGGAGGAAAAATACACACAGAGTTAGACGGGGTGAATGAAAGGCAAGTGAATGCAACAAAGAAAGCAAAAGCGTTTAGTGGAAGCAGTGGCAGTTTGGTGACGGCATTATTTAACATGAATTTTACGTCAGCGCTGACACGATACACGAAGCCTTGTAGCTGCAAGAAGACGCTAGAGTGAGAGAGAAACACAGAGCACACACTCAAGACTATTACGAAAACCTTTTTTTAACAGAAAACACCAGTGCTTCTCAAATTTGATTCGATCAGTCGAAGATAAACATCTAATTGGACCCCATGTCGGTGAGGTCAACGTGAAACATGTGCCTGCATAAACCTCTACTATCCAAAGATTAGAAGCATTAGTCAGAAACGCCTCGCAGGCAGACGATTCTCTGTTTTGTCCACTTGGTGGCAGCCACTGACTGTGCGAGGGCTCGCCGTATAACCTGCTGCATGTTATTACATCAGAAAACTTGAAGCACAAAAGCCCAGAGGGACACACACACTTCAAGCAAATGGCACCACAACAAGACCAAAACAAACAAACACAAAAGAGAAATGTAGTTTGGCGCCCATCTGTGCGGCAGCTCAGCTCTGTGGGTGGGGATTCTGGGGACTTTTTTCACTGAGGTGTTCACATTAAGAAGCACATAACGCAGAAAAGAGGGGGCTGAGTTTTTTTGGAGCCTGCTTGTCTGCCTGGTTCTACCTTGGACCAGCTCCGCTGGGAACATGTACCGGCCGTCAGTGGTCACCGCTCGTTCTGCAAAAACCAACAGTTACTCAGACGGCTTCCGGCTTGATCAAAAAGATGCCGTGCAGAAGGAGTGAGAGAGTCACAGATTTCCTTTAGGTATGCAGTAAGTGTATAGTGAGTGGGATTTCCTACTACTATCTATTTTCAAACAAAACAGCACGAGGCAGAATTCGCCACGCTTTTAGGTCACTGCATAAGAGGGATCAGATCAAACTCAAGTTTCCCTTTTGTCAACACTCCGTCACTATGTAGCATCATCATTACAGACAAAATGAACAATAATCATCAGTCTATGGAACGCTTTCTCATTCTCCTCTTCATCCTCACCGTGGTTGACGAGAAAGCGTAGTTTCTGGATCACAGCAAGGTTCCCCGACACTCTGTAGATGCCGTCAGTATCCAGTCCTGCATCATAATCACACAGAAAGGAAAGGTCAGGCAGGGTGATCCTCAGTATCACTCAGTGGTCACATGTTTGACAGCTCAAAATTAAATGAGCCTAAAGAGGTGCCTTTGTGATGTTCAAAGGCCGTGGGAGTTGATGCGATTGTTCTGCCGGTCTTGGCAGCTACATTTTCTGTGAATCAATATTTCATTGCGCCGCGTCGGTTTTTCATGTTGCACAACTGCTTGAGGATGTGTGACAAAGTCGAACAAAGTTTTAGAAATTTAATATTTAAAACCGAGAAACAGATACATGCTTTATGGCCACGTGACAGCCAAATGTGTTTTTAAATTCCTGCCAGACTACGACAAAGAATTTCCTCATTGTCACGTATGTTTCAACATTAGCTGCAAAAGAAGCCAGGCTTTTTTTACTTATAAAATATAGAATGAATTCAAGGTTAAGTTTGTATATCAGTCACACTTTCAGAAGATTTTAGGAACGCACCACATTTTCACAAGCTGTGGAACAAATAAGCTCCCTACAGAAGATTAATAATAGATGTCAAATTGCCTGAATGAGGTGCTTTTCTATGATGATATTACCCACAGAATATGAGTGTGGGAGCCTCAGATGGGAGAGACTCTCCCAACACTGAAATAAAACACTGAACTGCTCTGATCAGTGTCAGCAGCAACATAAAAAGGCCCATCCATAAGAAGGCATCACTGTAACTAAAGCTACATTTCAAATATTTTTCACCGCTTTCTGTTTCTTTGAGTAAAACATAATTTTAAGGCACACAACAGCAAAAAGCAAACTAACTAAAGGGGGGATTAATGGACCAGAGTGTTTGCTCTATGAGATCAAATGAATTAATATATATGTGTGCTTTAAAGACAAAAGTTATTTTATGATGAAAATAAAGAAAGGGAACAAATTAGGTGTCTTTTTTCCAGGCTACTACTATAGAAATACTTACATTAATAATCAGTTATTTGCCAAGTTGTCTATTATGTGTGGACATTCCACTAGTTCATGTCTAAGTTGGGTCTGCTTTCCAATCTCATAGGGCTCATAGCTCAGTATGAAGTGGATATCAAAATGTTTCAGCACATGAGCACAAAAAAAAACTCCAAACATGCAAATATTCATTTTAAAAGACCACCGCCTGCTACAGATTGCTTCAAAAGACTAAACGTCTTTTTCCTCATCAGTATACTACAGAAGTTAAGACTATCTCTACCATTTTTCAACCGTGCTGTACAAAATAATTTCCCTTCATTTGTTGCTTTGCTTCTGTACTTTCACAAGTCTTGATTGTTTAAATTCAATGAGAATATATGATCTGAAATAGATCATCAGAGTTGATGTTGGAGTGTGTAGTTGTCAGAAGCGAAAATGGACTGCAGAAAACCTGAGTTTGTGATATAAATGTCCATCAATAAACATGAAAGTCTGAATAATATATAACAGCAATAATTTTATATTATCAAGATAACACATAATATATGATAAATGATCTAACTTTTTCCAACAGGTTGCACAGTGTGTCAAATGCCTCAAACGTAAACGTCTTGAGCTGAAACTGCTACCCTCTTGACACATTTGATTAAAACCAAGTTTTCAAAGGCCCAAACACCTTGCTTGTGTGCGTTTGTGTGACTATTAAATATTCATCGGTGCATCTTTCTAAACAAGTCAATTTTCTCTCATTAACAGCTCTCGCTGCCTGATAGCTGTCATAACGTCTCTCTCACTGAATCCCAGGAATTGAGTCTTCTCTCTGTCGTCCACCATCTCAATCATTTTTAAGTAGGCAAGAGTTTGGTGATTTATGTCACAGATCCATCTTAAAAGTGAGCTTAGAGCTGCTGTCGGCTGATGTTCGATACAGGTCTGAGTGTGTTGGGATCACATCAGTAGGAGACGTGTTTGCGGTACCTCTCCTCTCCACGGCCTCCGTGCAAAGTCTAACGAAGCGAGGGACGGTGCTCCTCTCTCTCTCACACAGCATCTCCAGCGAACAGCCAAACACCTGATCTGAGTGACCATGACAGACAGACACAAACACACTTTTTATGTTGGTTCAGAAGATGAACCTTCCCCCCCCCAAAAAAAAAGATATAGAAGAAGATATATGATGTAAGAGCTCCAAGCTTAACTTAATCTGCTGATAGGTTTTGAGCTCACTATGGGAGAAAACCTCCATGTTTGACTTGGTTCCCAGCAGAGACGTAAGCTCACATTAGATGATGCAATGGAGCTCATGCCCTGTACTCTATAGACTATGGGCATACTCTAGTGTATGGAACCATAATCCAGATATATAGCAGCACAGTGTATGTTTTTTGAGAAAGACGTGAATGCTATTAGTTGTTAACCTGCATCCAAAGCACAAAAGCACATAGTATCTTACTGGCTATTCATTTCACGCATTTTCAGATGCTTCACTTTTCATCACAACAATTGTGGTTTCAAATGCATGCAGAAAATGTCCTTTCTCAGACATATAAGTAACTTTTGGCTTTATTTCCTTTCGTGACCCTGTTCCAGACTGTCTTGCTCTCATTAACTATGTGCATCCCTTATTCAGTCAGCACGTTGTGTGCATGCTGTCTAGCTTCATGAACTGTGGATGTCAGCCATGTTGGGACTGATATGTAAATGTTACAAGGTCTGGACCTGGTAAGATCGCTGAAGGAGAAATTTATTTATGACTTGAAGCCAGTTGGCTCAGATTCCATCTGATTAATGGAAAGGGGTGAATTTCTATCAGGGGCTATGGTATAAAAGCTTTATGGAAGCTTCAACTCCATCTGTTCACAGATGAAATATTCCTTCTTCCCATTTCATATAAAAGGGACTTTTGAGTATTGTGGTGGGAAAGGTTCTGAGACACTTACCGTTTGGAAGCAACCAAAAGTAAAACCACCCGAAAAACATGTATTTCAGATGGCTGTTGTACACTTCTGCCAACCTCTGATAGGCCAGACATGAGGTTGTCCCAATCACGACTTTATAATTTCATTCTGTTTAAATTTTGCGTTAAACTGAGCAACTGAAACAACCCACGACCATAACGCTGCCTCCAAAGGCTTGTACAGTGAACATGTGACATGATGGATGCAGAGCATTTTCCCAGCACCTGTCACTCAGAAGAAAGTTACATTTATCATCAAACTACATAGCCATTTCTCATTGTTTATGCAGGTGTATTTACATCTGATGCAAAAATAACTTATCTGGCAAGATTTCTGGAAAAAGCACGAGTGTGCACGTGAAAGAGCGCCTCCTCTCTGACGAGAGCTGTGATGGGCCAGATTTTATCAATGGACCAGATTCTCTACAGACCCAAATTAAAGCTAAGAGATGGAGCAGAAGACAAGTTTCCTCTGATACCACTTGAGTTCTAATTTGTTAAACTGCTATTTAGGAGTTTTTTGCCAAGTGAGGAAAAACACAATTCCCTGTCCTCAGCTTTAGGAAAAATAACATGATGGTGTTGTGTTATTAATGTGGAAAAGCTACTTGCAAAACATATGAGGAGGATTGCACCACACATCCACCAGGGAACGTGGCATCACTGCAGGATAAAAGCTGAAATTTCCTGCCTGCCTTCATAACTTTTTTGTACTTCACCTAAGTGGCAAAATAGCTCAAATTGAACAACGAAGAAAATATTGTGGACAGTTTCTGCTGTAAGGGCACGAGCTTGTAACTTGAACAAAGGAGTTTAAGTTTTAGTTTTAACAAATAAAACTTTCATGATTCATCCCTTCAGTGCAGAAAAAAAGGGATATCTACATTAGGCCAAAAAACTGTACCTTTAATGAGGCCTTTCTCCTGCAGGGCCTGCAGAGGAGGTCTCTTCAAAATCAGCTTCTTGAGCCGGGTCTTCACTCTTTTCCGCTCTGTGTTTTCCAGGTTGGACGACGAGCGAGGGACTGCAGAGGGAGGAAAGGAGGAGGTGGAGGAAAGGGACCAAAAGGAGGAGGAGGTCAGTGCGGGGTGTTCAGCAGTGGGGCAGGAAAGCAGATGAGCGGGGATGGTGGTGAGAATGAAAAGCGGGAGGGCCGGGCGACGGCGGAGGTGAGGGAGGACGGATGGTGGTATTATCTGCCACGGGGGCTCAGACAAAATGTACGTGGGCTGGATGGAGGAGATGATAGAGGACAGGATAGAGGGATGCAAGAAGCCTGTGTGGAAGTTTAGAAAAAAAGTGATAATGGAGAGAGAAGCTGAGAACTGGAGAGGAGGGCAGGGAGGGCAGGAAGGACGCCATAATGAAGAGATCGACAGGGATTGGGTGGTGGCCACTTACGAGATGTTCTTCTCTCTTCCTCGTCGCCGCTGTGGTCCAGCATTTCCACGCTGCCCGCTCTCCTCAGAGAATACAGAAGGACATTGTCTAATGGATTTTCACGGTCCTAGAAAGACAGCAGGAAGAAATTTGTTCAGATGGTTCAAGTTTTTCTTTTTTTCTTTAGTATAAGGATTTAGTTCATTTCTTCTACATCATTCTACACATGGTTTGTGTAAACAAAACTAAACCCTGAGCGGCCCTGTGATGGACTGGCAACTTATCCAGCTTGCACCCCGCCTCTCCACCATTGTCAGCTAGCGTAGGCTCCACCCGCCCCACACCCACAGGGAATAAGCAGAATAGATGGATAGATAAGTCAAGATGGAAATATGAGACACAAATGTGTCACACCCCATATATATGCAAAGGACAAAAACAACTTCCTGTAGCAATCAAAATGTCAGAAAGCAAAGAAACTTCCAACATTGTCAAACTGACGGTCATTGAAGGAACTAACTGATAATCTCCTCATATGATCTGGAACAGAACAAAACTGATTGTTCAGAGAGGAAGCTTCTCATCAGACAGGAAACAACTTAGTGCCTATGAATAAAACCCAGAGTTCCATTGAAAAGAGATGAACAACTAGCTACCAATTAAAAAGCCCAACTGGAATTTTCCCGAATGACTCTCAGACCACAAGAAACTAAAATTAGCCAATCTGACGACAGAAAACAAAGAATGACCTTATCAATGATGTCCTAACAGTCAGTGAAAGCAGTATCTGGGAATATTTTTTCTGTTCCTGTTTCAATTAACTTAAAACAAAACGGAGGTAAGAAAAGGGGAGAGTGAGTATTGGTCAGTATGTTTCAAACATAAACTCAATGTATTAAAGGTATGACTTTCATCTAAGTGGAAACCATTTAAGCCACAATGGAGAAGCGGTTAGTTGTAACATCCAAGTGTATACAGATAAAAAGTAGAATAGAATAGAAAAATAATCTATTTATTCCTGGTGGTGGAAATTCAAGTGTGTTACATGTAAATATGTGCATGTTTTTGTGTGTGCGTGTCTCACCAGTCTGTCAATGACATTTTTGATGGTGTTGTACCACTCTTTGATCAGAGACTCTGTCTCTGACTGCAGCAGGAACTCGTTGCCGGTCACTGTTCGCAGCTGGAACACACATTTTTCAAACCCCATTAATACTAAACCCAAACATGCCCCGATGAAGCCATGTAATATTTTTTTACGTCCATGCTTCAAAACCTGTTTCTTTTAACAATAGTTGGCGTGTATGATATTTTCTGAACAAACATGGGTTTAATAGTAATGACAGCATGCTCGATGTGTTCATTTATCTAGAATAAAACATTTTAGCAGCTTCCTCTTTCTCACCATGGGTGACTGAATAGATAGTAGATTAGCAAAAGCTCCCCACTCTCATTTCCCATTTAGGTAAGGACCCTTTTCTAAAGTAAAAGAACATTCATATCTGCTATTCCTCCCCATACACTCAATTTAACAAAGAAGATGAACACAATATCTGTCCTTTTGTTAAATAAAAGGGTTGCTGAGGAAGTTCATGGTCACTTCTCATGCCATAGCTCGTATGTTTCCTGTTATAAAACTAAGGTTTCTTGTGCATAGTGAGGCTGTAGCACCCCCTTTTTTAGGTCTTACCTTGAAGACGTTCTTCTTGCTGGACAGCTCATTGGCCCAGAGCACCTGCGCCCCTCTCAAATCCACACTGCTTTCCGGACGACTGTTTCCCGGTCTCTGTGTTTGAAAAACACACCCACGCACCCACATGAAATCAAGATTTTCACATTTTTCACCTCCTCGTCGACTTAACTGATCCTACATCCAAATCTAAAAACTGTATCTGACACCAGTGAAGATAAAGACACAGGAATGTTTTCAGGTGTGTGCTCATCTTTAGCATTTATTAGAGGTTACTGTTCTGTGTGAAACCGATAAATAGCTAATTGTTAATATGAAAAAAGAAAAAATGTCTAAACTGACTGATTGAATAGCTGAAATTAAGATATTTTGGAGATGCAAAGTAACTGAAAACAAAACTTTTGTTTTTTTATATCACATGCAATCTGAACTAAAATCACTGAACATAATACTGTTTAAATTCTTACCCAGCTGGAAGGTGTCTGTGATTTAGGATCCTTGAAAAAAACCAAACTGTTGCCAACTAACACCACCCAGGAAGGACTCCAGTTCTTCCTGTGACCCCAGAAACAGACAGATTCTGCTTAAAAATCTGCCCAGAGAATCTTACTTGCTTAAAATGTGCTTATACAAATACAAAGATGATTTAATTAAACTGATATTGCTTGTTCTTCAAAAATCCCATTTCACCTCAGTTTTTTCCCTCCTTCTGCAATCTTTGTCTTGTTCAGTAGGCCGGCTTTCTCCAGCTCCTGAGAACACATAAAGAAGAGGTTCAAAGCACATGGAAATTTGCAATAGCCACTGATATATGATGCTCTCACCCCAGTGGTGTGAGTTTGAATAGACAGGGGTGGGTGGTTGGGCGGAATATGCAGTATGTAAGGACATTTTTAACGGTTAACCACCTTAGAGGGATGTTCCTCTGAGTAATATACCGCATCCTGAGCAAAGCCATTAAACTTCACAGTTGCATCATTCAGGAAAAAAAAAAAAACAGGAGGGAGCTGCTCTGAAATATCCCACTGCGGTGTGCCCCCATTTAAGGTGTGAGAGAACTAAATTTACCCTGACTATAAGGCTGTACTGTAAGTGTTGAATACAGTATGTGAAGACAGTAAAGTGAACTGAGAAAACAAACCTGCTCATCTATTCTCAATACACCGTTTTAGTTATTTGTAGCCGATCTGGCATGTCTTGTGGGGACTTCTTTTTTAATGATTTCTACTTCAGGAGTGCAGTTAAATGTGTGTTGGCAGTCAGCTGCTCACTCCAAATAAAACTAAAACTATTTGATTGATTTTGTTTGCTGAGGGGGATTACTGAGACAGGAAGAATGATTTTCTCTTTTTTTTTCTAACTCTGACATTTGTGTAAACTGATTCAACTAGAAAACCAACACAGCACCAACATGTTTTCCTCCACCTTTAATCAGAAGGAAAATGTGCCATGTAGCTGCTGATGCTCACCGGTGTGCAGCCATCGCTGTCCGGAGAGCTCTCAGGGGATGGAGGCTCCACAACAATGTTGGTGATGTTGCTGGTGTAATCTTTGCACTGTTGGACAAATTGAAAATCAGGAAGAGAGCATCATCTGATGCATTCACTTGCAGTATCTGCTTATGTGCGTATATTCATTGTTTTGCATGCTGTCTGTTGAAGTCTGTCTGCATTTCCTCTTTTCTCTATGTAAATATTAGACTCAAGGGTTAAAAGCTGTTTAAAGATGTGTGGGTTTGCAGGCTGGGGAGGTGCATACCTTGCCGTTCTCAGGGAGGAACATAGACTGTGAATGGCTGAGCTGCTGCCTGGCATCATGCAGGGACACAGAGTTATGGCACTGGGCTTCGGTTTTACTGAACGTCATCGTGCTCAAGGTGTCTGAGGAGGCGGCACGCTGCATGCTCTTTGTGGTCAAATTTTTGGGTTTCAAAGGTTGAACAGATAAACAAGGGGGAAACAAATGGTGTGAACTAAAATTGTAACATGCTGCATTGATATTTGACATGTCTGTGAGGTGATCCTATATATATATATATATATATATATTTATATATATATATATGTATATATATATGAACCACACAGGAAAGCACACAAAAGCATAAATGCACACCGCTTCAACTTTTCATGCAGGCACAGCCATAATTAAGTTCCAAATCCCTGTAACCTAGTTTCAACAATCAAATAAAATATCCTTACTAACGTTTGCATCTCCTCATGCAAGTAGGATTAGCTGCAAGAGCCAAATCAGCTCCTTTGCAAAGAGTAGGCCTTTAAAAAGGCTTTTATAGCAAGTGCACCCACACCCCGCCGTGATGCAACATGTTGCAGTGAGAACTGCTTGGGTAACAAGTCTTTCTTTTAACACCATGAATTGCTGTTTTGCCACCTTAATATGCATAAATGCTGATCGCAAAGACTCTAAATAGCATGTCTGGCATTACTTTAATGCATTCTACAGTAATACAGTGGATATGCAGTTCATGCAAATCTAAAGGACCAGAGTTCTTTGATTTTCATGAGGAAAATACCCTTGATGAAAAGTCCTTTTAAACACTGACAAAACACTCAGGATTACATACAAAACCAGGCACGCTAACAAAAACAATCCAAAGGCTTGACATTTACAGGCTTGTTCAAGAAGAGCAGATAAGTAATCTCTATACAACTATAGATAATCACGTGCAGGAAGTAGCTACTGTATACATGCTTAACAGGAGGCATGATCCTATCTGATGCAGCCAATGGTGTGATTTGTTGAGAAAATCCACTGTCTTGTGCAGGGATAATATGTAAAACTGGTCAAGGGAGTTTGGTCCTCTTCTGGTGTTGACAGTTAGAGTCAAGGTGAAACACACGATGCGTCTTCTGGCAAAGATTGTATCAGATAGATGGGAGATTTACCTGTTTCATCTGCCAGCTGCTGTCAGCATTCGGCTGGTGGCTCCCGTAGACAAAATCATTTGATAGCTAGAGAAGGGAGAAGTAGAAAAATGAAGGCAAAGATGCAGATAACAGAGATGAACAGCTGCTTCTTGTACTGAATTCAAGAATGCAACAAAAGTGGACTTATTTTCTATATAAGTGACAAGCAAGTGGAAAAAAAGGGATGGTGTCTTTTTAGTACTGTTTGTCAGTTGGTGCGAAAAACTTCACACCAATGTTAAAAAAACTGAATGTTAAGATCGGTTATAAGGCTGGGGCTCACACTCAGATTAGAAATAGAAACTACTCCTCTGCTCTACTTACATCCGGCTTTACCAGTCAGACTACACACACTCAATCCGTTAATGAGGGACAGTGCTGCTAAGGGAGAGTGGAGGGTTTCTTTGACTAAATCTGGGTCACGTTTTGTGACAGTAGGACGACATCAGCTACCTCTGGCAACAAAAGGCCAAATCGAGACACCAAAATCAGAAAACTCTCAGCAAACTGGACATATTTAGTACTTAAAAGCAAGCCACAAAATTTCCCAACAACAATAAACTGGTGCGGAAGAAAAAGCAGTAGCATATCAAAGCAGGAAACACAGATAAATGGAAACTAATTGAACTCACGGCATAGGCACTCATTATGCCTGAGATGTCCTGACAAACTGGAGTTTCCTAGAGCTTGTTGAGTTGCTTGTAACTCCTGAGCCTCTTGTGGTCGCCTGTCATTACACCCTCTTGTCTGAGTGCATTTAATGTTAAAAAACCATGCATCTCTCCGTCATCTCTCAACTCTGTCTACTTCCCCATTCTAGAGGGAAGCTGACTTTATCAGGCACATGCGTTTAGGTTCATGTGAAGACCAGGAAGGTTTGTGCCCTACTGAATTATCTCACCAGTAGTTTTTTCCCTTTTACCACTGTACAACAATTATTTTTATCATTTGCAGTGTCTGTAAGCAGTGAGATGAAATCTTTCGGTAAAGGTTAGAAATATTCTACCACAAGATCAACTTCAACCTTATTTGAGGGAAAATAAACAACAGTATAGTTCAATGTTAATGTTGAACGGTGGACTGCAGTGTAAGAATGTATACATGTCCATGAGGAAAGCACAAACAGAAAATAGAAGATCTGGTACAAGCATTAGGCCAAATGACAATGCACTTTGAAAGTCTATGTACGCCTCATTTCATAATTGTGCAGAAAACCGTCCAGATCAGCTCTAAAGTATATTGCGTTATGCTTCCTCCATGGCTCATCAAACTTGGCCTGATACTTTTGAGCAATCCGTCTGAGAATTCTTTTTAAAAAGCACTTATTTATGCAAACTTGTATACCAGCGCCACTCAGCATGCCTCCAGCCAAGCTGACACAGGTGTGTGACCACAGCCTGCAAGGTTATGTGGAAGCTAGCAAGCAAGAAAGCAGTGAAGTCAGAGTGTGTGGCACAGTATTGGATTTGTGCTAAGCAGCTTGTTTTATAAAAACAGGGATCCCACTCATCCTCTCTGTACTCCTGCGAGTACTGGGAATATACATATACAGTGGGGTCGCAGGAGCCTATCCCAGCTGACCATGGGCGAGAGGTGGGGTACACCCTGGACAGGTCACCAATCCATCACAAAGCCACAGAGAGACAAATAATTGCACACACTCACTTTCACTCCTGGGGGTAATTTAGAGTGTCAAACTGACTTATCATGCTCATTTCTGGATGGTGAGAGGAAGCCGGAGAGGGTCCCAATCCTCCCAGGGACTCGAACCGGGAACCCTCTGGCTGTGAGGCGACGGCGCTAACCACCTCACCCATCATGCAATGTAATTAGGCTATTTTTCTTCATGATATTTTATTTAAAATGAAAGGAGTCAGTGGTTTTAAACAAGCAATATCTCACTGTTATCTTAATTCATATTAAACAAAAAAGGTAACATTTTCTAAAATGTTGAAAAGAATGTGTCATGTGAAATTTGAAGCTGTTAGAAAATCATCCCCGTACTCACAAAAAAAAGAACACTTTGAGTGGTTTTGTAAGCCTGAAAAGACGGGCTTGTTAGGACAGATAATAATCCAAATGGAGAAGGTCTTATTTTTAAGAATAAAAATGTAGACAAGAGAACACTGTACTGACAAGTAATATGGGTCACTTGGGTTTTAACACCTGTTTCATGAACCCATGTGGCAAGCAGTATGCACCATACATCACATACCACGGAACACAAAGTGACACATATAGGTCAACAGAACACATCTTGAGCTGACTCGATGGGGGGAATCACTGCTTTGATCATGTGAGTATTTTTTTGATGAACAACATTAAACTTGAAGGACTGATGCAACGCTGAGGCAATCCAACTTTCAAACACAAAATGCTTATCTCTGGCAATCTGGATCATACGAGCTTGTGTAGCTTCGCTGTGTAGATGACATCAATGATTTGATGAATGGGTCAATTTCAGTCATCGACTACCTTCCCCAAACATTTAAAACAGCATCTTCATTATTTAAGAGCAGGTCTGCTGGGAACTTTCTGGTGGTATTTTGAAAGATTTTACATGTGTATCCCTGATTGTTGGCACCTATTGACCTCTTTTCATCTGCATCAGCTCTGGAGTCATTAGCTTATTACACCCTACATTGGCAAAGAAATGTTTGTTACGCTTTTATCCAAAGCGACTTACAAAAAAAGACAATGAGAAATGTTTTGTTGTAACCAACAAATAAGGGCTGTGAAGAATACACAGACTAATCATGTGTTTTGCAGACTCAATATATTCATCATTTATGTAGCAACGTTCCAGGATACACACATGCAGCGCTATTAGAAGACGCTCTGAATACTGATGAAGCTAATTCAGAGGAAGAGGTTCAATTATACATGATGGCACTAGGAGGGTTGAATATTACCTTTCTTTAATATAAACAGTGTATTTACCTTGTGCATAGTTCCATTGCCAGTCTCAGTGAGTGGCAGTGACAGATGACTGGTGTCCCGGGGTAATGTCTGAGGTTGCATCGGGCTGGCCTGCACGACAAACGTTATTGGTTAGAATCATGACCAAAACCAGAAAACACTCAGACAGTATAAGGCAACTGTTGCAGCGGTGCACTGTAAACAGACTTTTGTACCAAACAGATTGTTCCAGGGTTAAGGACACATATATTTCTTCTAATGACAGTCACTTTGTAAATGGCAAAAAACCTTCCTACAGGAATTTACCTTTTATGTTTTGAGAGAGATTTAGCAGAGGTGTTAGGCAGACCCTGATTTTTCTGGATGACGGTAAACTGAATGCATACCTCTGTGATTCTTAAACTACAAGGCTGAAAAACCCCATCAACAAAACCTGGGGTGTCGTATTTACACTCTATATGCTTCTATTCACTGGGTTGAGTTTAGGATTTCAAAGTTGAGACTGACGGCTGGTAAACAGAAATGTAAAAAATGAAATGAAAAGCAAAAACACACATTCTGAATTTCAGTGAGCAACAGCAAAAGTAACCTGAACTTTCATCGGCTTTCAAGAAAACTCTGCTGTGACTTTGTGACCTTAAGCCAAGGTGAGAACATGTAGAGTTTCTCCTGCTTAAGCTCTCTGTACCCTAGACTCCAGCAGAGGAAGACCAGTCTTGTGATCATTGTGTTTGCAAATCCTCTGTGTCTAAGTAAGAAGAGAAAATACCAGCCAGGCTGCTTAGCGGAGAGGTCTGTGGCTGAAAATGTCCCTATTAGTGCTGATACAGGCAAACCACCCATGCATATAAATGAGCTTCATCTGCTCTTCTGTGCCCTGATCCTTTTCATGCTCTCCTTTGAGAAGAGACACTTTCATCCAGCTCTGACAACGCCAACACCTTCCCATTTTAAGGCTACCTTAGAGGTAGGTGAGATAACAGAGGGAAAGTAAATGCTACCTGCTGTGTTCAGGGCTTTACCTTGTAGGCGCTATGAGGGCGAGCTCGGCGGGGGGGTTTCCAGGACCTCTCTCTGGTAATTCTGTTGACATAATAGCATCGACCTGAAGCTGGGTCAGAGTACTGCTCCCACAGATCCATTATCTGAAGAGGCTGCTGACCTGGAGCAGGCCTAGGTGGCTCCAGTTGTGACTGACGCTTCTCCATTTGCATTTCAGCATAAAGAGGAGAGTCCTGCCAGGTCAACTGGGGCATATAGGTCTCTGTTGGGACCTTCAACAAAGAAACACTCACATAAGAGAGACGCAAGGCCCAAGATGGGGATGACTAAAGTTTTCATGAATCTTTTAGATAAACAATACATGAAGAAACTAGAAGCTAATGGAAAAAGGAGTGATTATTGTATGACAGCAAGACAGAGCCTTCATATCAGTATCACAGAGTCATATAAGGATGCAATAAGGGCTAAACCCCCTCTCTTAAATTGTAAGCCAATTTTCTAGGTTGATGTTAAACATAATGAAGCAGATGTTATCAATAAATAGATGTATCAGGGAAAGAAATACGTTTGCTTCATCAAAAATAAAAAATAACATTTTTAATCTACTTCAGCACTTCACAATCTCATAATTTCACAGAAATTTAACAAAAAAAGCCATTGCTCATTTGACTGTTTGAATTTGTAGTGCACAACAAAATCTTTTCTGAGCCCAAAACGTTGATGTTCTTTTTCTTTTCAAAATTTTACTAGCTGAAATGTTACTCCTCAAAAGATGTTCCTATTTTTCTTTTAAAAACTGTTACTATTTATTATACGTGTGTGTGTCTGATAGATAATTAGGATTTTGTGAAGCAACCCTGCTTTAGTTGCAGTGCCTAAAATATCAGCAGATACAGCAGGTCAGAAACAACGAGCAGCAGATTGCTGTGACTGGAGCAAATGCAGACACCACAGATAAACCCAGCAGTTTACTACTATAGAAAAAAAAACATCTGACTCTTGGATTAACGCAGAGCTTATATAGACTTGTGATTACAAAAATAGAAGCAGCTAAAAGAGAAGGACATGTTTTAAATCCTATATAATGAATTGGAGGAATGTGCTCCCAGAGGTACATCTGTTCAGAATATAGAATATAGCTCAGGCATAATTAAAAAAACAAAACAATTGATGACTAGCTAGTTGATCCCTATTATATAACAGTCTTTCAGAAGATCACTGAAGGAATATGGCGTGCTTGTGCTCATGGGTGTGATCTAAAAGGGACGTGGCTGTAGCTTACTCCAGGTGGCAGCACTGGGTCTTGAGTCACCTGATGATTCTTTCCATCAGGTTCTTTTATTGTACCTCGTTAATTAAATAAAACCCGAGTCTTTCTAGCAGAGCTGTATTGATATAAAATCATGTGGAGAAAAGCACTGTTTTTCCAAGTGAAAACAACAGACCCAATCATACTGATTTTTTTTTCATCAGACATGTTAAAAAAGTGGTGCATAACAAAACAAACATCTAAAACGCCAAGCAAAGGACATATGATTATGTCCCATAAATACTTTTGAAGAGCCTGTGTTCAACAATGTAGCTTTTACAGAAAAATTCACCACTCACCATTACATCACATGTTTTGCTGCTCTGATTGGCTACAGCTCTATCCATTTGTGTCCAGAAGCACAATAATGTTTCTTAGAAACCATATGTGAAGGAAGACAACTTGTATTTAAGCCTTTTCATCGCTGCGCCACACTGTTTTGTACTTCCTTTTCGACTTGTACTTATTATTCAACATTTCATCTGAACTATGACTGAGCACTTTGGTTGGTTACAAGTTCACTGGTGAAGATGACCACAACATTACTTGAGCGAGACAGGGGAAGTTTGACCCCAGATTGTGCATAAGCATACACCATTACAGGATTTACAACATGTACTGGCACATCATTTCAGGCTTGATATCTAACAAGTGTACAAGTTTAACTGAAAGAAAAGGAGAAGTTAAAAGAAGATCGGTTGGACGGCACATGCTTGCAGGTATGATTTTGCATATGTGGTTGGATTTGAGAAAGTTCTGAGTCGAGAACCAATGTTTCACTTGCAAAGCTTGTATTCCTCTGAGAGCAGGAGTCTAGACAGTGGATGCATATGTTACGTTTCTACTAAAATTGCTTAGGCTCATCAATTGGATTTTTCTTAGGTAGGTTGCAATTGACTGAAAGCAAAGCAGTTAAAAAGCCAGCATAAATCAAGGAGACATCTCCTGGAGACTTTTCTTTAGAAATTACCTCTTATGTGAAATCATCAAAATTCAGACTTGAGGAAACAAGTTTTTAGAAACCACATCATGAGCTGTAGAAAATACAGCCTTCCACACATTACAGTCTTAAGGCGAGTAGTAAATCTGTGGTTTAGGCACAAGCAGTGGATCAAACATTACTAGGCTTGTGGTCGTGTACTATGGGGGGCCATGTCAGGCCAAATCATGAAACCAAAAATGCCAGAAAAGTACTTCAAAATTTGTACATCATAAAGTTACATCTCTTCAAATTCAACAGATTTTCCTTGAAGGCTAAAATTTAATCTACTTTATAAAATACATCATCCTAGCAAACAAGTTTGATCAGAGAGTATTTGCTGGTTGAAAAACAGGAAGTTCTGACCTGAATGTGGCCGCATTAATCCTGCTTACTGTTATTAGAGGCTGGACTAAAAACAGGCCTTAGGGAACAGAAGAAACAGATTCAGAGAGATGAAACCCGGGGAACGACAGATAGAAGATAGAAATACGGAGAGAGCATATCTATTCAAAGTCAAGAGGTGCACAAGCAGTGCAGGAAAAACAAAACCGCGTAAGGAGACAAAGCTTGTATACTCGGCAGTAGGAGTTTCCCTCAGCTGACAGAATGATAACCTTGAGTATTGCTCTCGACAGAAAGGCCTTGTGTAATCCACCCTGATGTAAGGCAGGGAAGCTCTGGCGTCACGACAGTGCTAACTTGATTGCTGCTCTAGGAGGATTATTAAGGACAAGTGAAAGTGTAAATCAAATACAACGTCTTAATCATTGTGCTGAGCTCAAACAAGACACACTGAACATGTTTTTGTTTTTTTGGACAAATAATGTTGATGACATCCTAAGCATGAGCCAAAAAAAATTGTCTCGGGAAAAAAATGTGAAGTTCCAGGTTGCAGCAGACTTCCACAATCTACTTGCATGAAAGCCGCAAAGTTAACCGTGTTTTACAGAGTTTCTTTGGCTTGTGTAACTAAAGCAATGGAGATAATCACCCACCGGGTTATTAAAAGTTTTGGAGTTATGTAGTGTAAATCCGTGAGATTAGAGATTGCCAATGAGAGAAAAACTACATTCATTCAATCCTGCACTTCTCTAAGAACAAGCAACATGTAGTGGATTTGTTTGACCTATTTTCCAAAAGTTAGCCTCGCCGCTCTGTTAACCTTGATTATTATCTGTGGAATATAGATGAACAGACAGGAACATGGGAAAACTACTTTACACAACACTGGAAAAAAAACTGATGGGTATCAGGGCGTCAAACCTGTTTAAACTGACTATTATCAATAGTATTTGGTTTGATTTAGATGTTTGATTTGGTTTGGAATGTGGAAAATGGTTGGCACTGTTTCCTCGTAGTAAGAGGGCTACCAGTTCGAATCCTGGCTGGGGGCCTTTCTGTGTGGAACTTACACGTGCACCCCATGCATGCTTGGGTTTGCTCCTGCCATCCAAAAGCATGCATGTTTGGTTAATCGATGACTCCAAATTAATCTTAGGAGTTGGTGTGAGTGTGCCTGACTCGTTTGTCTCTGAATGACCCTGTGATGGACTGGGGATCAGTCCAGGGTGTTTTCAAGCCTCTCCACCTCTGCTATCTATAGGCTCTGTTAACTACCATTCATTTAGGGTTTTCTTGTTACGGCTTTGGTCCGCTTACCTGCAGATGTTTTTTCTTGCTCGTATCCCCCACCATGTCTCCCTGGCTGGAATACTTCTTGGGGATCCTGTGGTTGATGCGACTGCCGAGGCCACTGCTCACCTCGTCGTACGGGTTCTCCATCAGGTTTTCAGGCAGGTTGCTGGAGCTCTGGCTGCGGGTGATCATGGGGACCACCCTTGTGTATTGCGGCGCTGTTTGAGTTGCGGAGGCCGCGGGAGATCCGGGGACCAGGAGGTGACCTGATGGGGAGGCGGTAGAGTTGGGGGTAAAAGTAAATCCAGACAGGGGGAGGGTAGGGAAACGTCCTCCACCCAGGCTTGTGTTTTTGTGAGACCCCTGGAAGGCACTGTTGGAGCAGAGGTTTTCCATGGAGTGGTACATGGACTTATTTACTGTGAAGGGAGATGTAAAAAAGAAAATATTGTCTTATAAGTTCAGATGTTTCTCAGTGCAGTTTTTCTTTTGATTTTGACTTTGTCAAATTTTGTTACCTTGGCGCTGTTCATTACTGATAGTTTCTGAGTAGATGGGTGACATGCGGGCCTGTATCCTAATGTTGGAGTTCATCGAGGCGGACATGACTTGGCGCTGGGGCGAGGGCATCGGTGTAATGGGTACCTCTGTCACATATGTAGCAGGCACATACAATGGCTTTGTTTTACTGGCTGCCCCAATCCTCCGCACCTGTCAAACAACAGAGCTCTGAATGCTTTGGCCTTTTTTTTTTTTCTCACATGAATCCACTTAGACCAACCAGGTGGCAATAAACAGAGCAGAGGGCTGAGGCCGCTGCGGAAATGTCAACCGTTACAGTTCCTGACAGACAACAGATCTTATGAGATAACTCGCTGCTTCTCTCTTAGAAACAAAGTGTTCACTGCAAAGGTCACCTTTTCGAAAGACATTTCTGTACAGCATCAATAAATAGTAGTCTGCAAACAGCACTGTTAGTGTGGATGATTTATGACAATGACAATTACTTTCTAGGACCTCTAGAAGATAACCTTAGATTTTAAGGATTCCTGAATTCCTACAATAATTCAATTTATCGAATACCTGATCCACAATTTATTACTCAGTATGATCAGTCAGTCAGAAAGAAATATTCACATTCACAATATTCACATCCCAGAATGTGTAGTCCCTGTGTCAGCCTCATAACTGTAGTATTTGTTCAAATTTGAGTGTCAGAAGAAACCATGGTGCTAAAACAGTTGTCTAATCACTTGAATATCTGAGTGCAAATAAAATAACAGAGGAGGAGTTCGTCTTTAAGTGTTTGAGGTCTGAGGAGGGGAGGTGCTCAGGACAGAGATGACTCAAGTAAACAGTGAAATGGCATCTGAATGTTTCTTTCTGCTCAACACTGTGTACAATATCACCGTAACCACAGCGCTAACAGAAAAGTAGAGCTTTTTGCATTCCTATATCTTATGTCATTGATGATATTATGAATTGAAAGAGAAAAGAAAAGAATTCCCACCTTGAAGGTGAGCAACAAAATGATGTAGGTTATTACAAATATTTTAATGCAGGTTAAGCTCTTCATTGTTTAGCTCTGAGGAATAATCCTGAACTGTTGGATCCCTAATGGCTTGGTTAACCCTCTGCAGGACCAAATATTACAATTGAACATCATCCAACCTCTAGCAGTCTCTGACGTACTTATGTGGGAAGCATGCAGGGTTTAACATCCACTTAAAAGCCTGTTAGGCCAGACAGGACTCTGTCTGTTCTCAACATCAGGCTTTTCAGTCGGGCGTCTTCATTTCTGGATTCCCTGCCTGATAAATCAAAGTGACACAAACACTAACATTTCACAGATCACTCCTTAAACCTTAGGAACTTTAGGAGCTTTACTTTGGTCCAGAACACATCGTATCATTTCAACATTGTCTCACTTCACAAATTGGTTGTGAAGCAGTTTGGCAGTTGGTCCAAAGTGGAAAACTCAAAATGGTACAGTTTCTACATTTTTAAGATTCTAAAATCATCACCCACCTATGTTTGCCTTTTGAGTTGATGACATACCAAAGTATGGATTAAATCAAGCTGACCTGAACCTGTGTTAGACACTTATAACTTACATATGACCACATTTATGGTGCGTAAAGAAGATATTTGTCGGAGTTAGTTAGCGGATGCAACACAGTTGAAACCTCACCCACACCAATAGACTTTCAAAAACCTCCTTATGCTATACATCACAGTCACTCACAACTGAATACATTTAGATAATATAATGTACTGTCATGTTATGAAAATCAAAATCATATGACTGCGATTTGCCACCTGTGTCTCTTACCAAGCAACAGATTTGTCAAATGTTTGAGCTTGAACTTTGACAGTTGTACTTTTGGAAAATGTAAACAGTATTTCCCATCTGTTCTAATTTTGTAAAGTTAAACTGTATCTTGTTCTTTGTACATTGAGTGGACAGTCTCATGTTAAAGTATTGTATTGAATTCAGAGGAACTTAACCTATATCACACATATTCAGGATTTTTTTTTATTGTATATGGATTGACCATCCATGGGTAGTCAACCTCAAAAGGCCGACAATGACTCTTAAATAGCATGTTTTAGCATGTTAGGTGAGATTCAAAGACAAAAACACAATCAAAACAGCACTTTTGTCACTTATGGCCTTTTCTGGGATTTGTTAGCACTGAAAATAAGTAAAAGTAAAATTTATGTACAGTTTGATGCTTCAATTCAATTTACAAATCCTAGTTTTTTCCCCCAACATTTGGGGTTCAACATACAAAAGACAAGAAACTGTTTTCTCACCTGCCACCAGTCAGCATTTGTCTTCTTGAGAAGAATAAACCTCTCGCCCTCCCTTATGCAAACTTGCCGTCCGTCCGCCCCGCGGTAGTTGTAGTCATACTGCGCCTCGAGGACCACTGTGCCACTGGGGACCCCGCACACTGTCATCCCACTGGGGTTTGCCAAGGGTGCTGTAGCCGGCTGAGATGGCCCCATAGAACGACGCCAAGTACCAGACAGCATGGTTCTCCACACGGCTCTGTTCAGCACGCTAGACTGGGAGTGCGCTGAAGCCTGACGGGGCTGGGGATGGTGCAGGTCAGGTAAGACTGGAGCCAGGTCAGTGCCATGCTCTGAGACAGGCACAAAGGGAAAACAGACAGAGAGATTAGCAGAGCTGGCAGAGAATATTGCAAATCACGCCTAGCGGTGGGCAGTGTCAAAGGGTGAAAATATGAATCCGTTTAGTGCTAAAAATGGAAGCTTTGTTAATCCGTCCTTCAGTTACGGAAAAAAAAAAAAACATTTTACTCCATACATTTTTATCAATGAAATTTCTTGATGTGATGTTTTTTTTTTAAATGTTGCATCCTCTCTTTTTAATTTTTGAGCAGAAAACACAAGATATGCAGACATCGCCTTCAGCCTTCATGGTGGTGCAGCCATTTTCAACTAATAGCTGGCATTTGATATCGAGTGCTGATGACTACACACGTCACTGCTAAAATATCCACAGATGGATGGAAATTAAAATGTCTTCTTCAGCTTAAATTCTAATGCCACAGCATGAAATGTATCACAGCGGTACAGCGCTTTGTAGGTCTTTCATCCTTTCTGAATGAAGAGAAGCATGTGACTGAATAGCTCCTGTGTTTGGAGGATGTAAGGAGAGCAGTATTCCCAAAATAGCACCAGTCTCTGTCTCTCCACCTGCGCCAGCATCCCCCAAGCTAAACCCATGCTTTACCCAGCCAAGACCCGCTTATGTAAGGAACGAACATCTAACTTTCTGCCAGACACACTGACACGGAGCCTCGCACAGCCCATACACCCACCAACCCTGACACGCACGTGTAGAAAAGAGAAAGTCCCATAGTACCTAGCAACAGTCGCAGTCATGCCATCCCAGTGTGAGGAGTCGAGAAATGTTGGAGTAGACAAGGATTGTGGAAAAAGAGTAGATACCTTGGATATGAAAAAAGACGAAAAAACAGAGAACCTAAGCAGTGGAGGGATGGATGAGGCTTTATGGAGCGGTGAGCTGATAGAAGGGAGTGCAGAGATAGCTGGCTGAACCTTGATAATCCCAATGTTATTATAGCACAGGAATGAATTTGTAACCCCCACAGCAACAAGGAATTACAGTAAAACCTCTCTACATCGACACATGGGGAGAGGGTCTGCTTCTGCTTCAGATATTCAGGAGAATTGTTTTTTATCTATATTAAAATTAGAATAAATTAGAAAAATGAGAATAAAGACTATTCAACTTTATTAACAGATGAAGACACTGGCTGAAAGTCATTTCTCATTTTGCAAAACCTGATGGGTTAGGTTGTATGGTAGCTGCTGATGTGGTTGAAAATACACCTGTTTTTTTTTGTTTTGGTGTTTTTGCTCGCTTTCAAGCATTTAAGATCTTCATGAATGAGAGCATGAAATGAAATAAAACTGTTGCAAACAGTAATCAACACTTGTGTATACGTGTCAATATCACCTCCAAACACAAATGGGGAAATGCCTTAGGAAACTACAAGATAAATACTCAAATTTCCAAGTTTAAAAACATATAAAACATTGCTGTTGAGCACTGAAGGGACAGAGGCAGAATTCAGAGGTACAAACCAAGTAAGAAAACAGGAAACTGCAAAGACACACTGAGGCTCAACCACAGTTTGGGTCATATCCTCTGCTTCTGCCAGACATTTTCAGCAGTTAGGTTATAAACCTTGGGTATCTAACAGTCAATTGACGCTGTATGTTGGCCCCCACGAGCAGACGAGAATACCACCAAAAAATGGTCTTGAAGCGTAATGAAGATATTTTAGGCTTAACAATTCTGCTCCATGAGTAGCAAAGTGCATTTTACTATAACAAAGGACCAATAGTAACAACCTACCCATCATTTAAAACATCCAGCACATACAACGGTACGTATGCAGAACGTCCACAATGAGCTCCTCTCCATGCGAAAACAGGAAGGGCTCAGTGATACCGTCACACACCTGTTTTCCTTTTCCTGTCTTTTTCTGCAGCGCAACACAGATGACAGAGAGCTGAATCAATACAGACCAAAGTAGAAAACCTTGCTGAAAAAGGCCAGACTGAAGTGATCATGTCTTGCTCTACCAGAACAGACACAAAACCTCTGTGTTGCCAACAATAGGCTATCATGTGTGCAAATTAAGCTGTGCACATAGTCAAAGTCCTGAGGTCACATCTTTCTGATCTTTGGTACAATGTTCCCTGAGGGCAGAACTGCTGGTGAGAACAAGAAGGAATGATGCATGCTTTTGTCATCTAATGACTCAAGATCTTAATCATAGTGTTCAGATCTGATTCACTAAGTAGAGTCAGGAGCTTTTTGATTACAGACTTATAAATTAAGACGAAAACCTTAATGAAATCATTTAATCTCACACTCAAACATGATTTTTTCAATAGTTAACATGGGACACTGTGAAACATAATGGCAAGGCGAATGTGAAGAAAAGGAAATAAGGGCAGAGTGTGGTTCTGTTTGCAGGGCACATGGCAGTAGGGTGGGCGCTGTCGTCATACCCCCCCCCCCCCGACATACAGAGACAGCCATATGGTGCAGAAGCAGACACAGGCACCCTGTGACGGCTTGTTCAGAGGCAGCAGCTCATGCCAGGAGTGAGGGGTCAAGGCTTATCGTGTTGTGTCCACATCACAAAACGAAGAGATGGGGGAGACAACACAGACAGAAGATCACAAATAGAACAAAAAATAAGTGGGGAGGGGAGAAAACTTTGCATGTCCTCTATCTGCCTGCGTTTGCACACGGGTTAGACTGATTTTGAGAAATGGAAAGTGTACCGCCATAGTTCTGAAGTAAGAGAGACTATCACAGAGATCAGCAGACCATACTCACAACCAGCTAAAAGCCCGAAAACAATTCTAACACAATCAAGATAAGAAGAAGATCACTGACTTCTACTTAACCAACTACAGACTGCTCAGAAGAGGGTGGGACCAATAATAACCAAAATAATACAGAAGCTCTATCTATGCCATGTCCCCTGTAGAAAATCAAATACTGTCACTGGCATTCACGTACACACACACACAAACAGACGCACACACGAAAACAGTTTATATCCCACAGACAGTTCGTCTCACCTCTGCTTTCTGAACCTCTGCTGACTCTACAGCTCCTTCTTTAACCAATATTTAGCCTTCTAGATCTCCAAAGGGACGTCGGCAGATTTTTTTCCCCCATGCATCCATATTAAATAAACCTACCAAAACAGGATGTTAGAGGACCATCGTGGATCAAAACAACCAGCAGTCCGACTGATTGACTGAGCTATTGATCCAAATGTAGAGCTGGCTGGTCAACTGTGCCACTGATTTGAGAGACACAGCATGGATTTTTGCGGGCAAAGATATGACAGTACATCTGTCCAAAACTTCCAATATTTTGCGTGATGTCTGACTACTTTTAAACCCGTATGATAACAGAAAATGAACCAACAGACAGACAAAACACCAGAATGTTTCAGATCCAGAGGATTTTTTTTCGATTAAGTTACCGTGGGTTAAGCTATAGATGAGGCCCCACATTGTCTGACACTGTTGCTTCATATCCTGTTCAGGGTTTGGACCTGCGGGTTGGTTGGTGCATTTCTACGTGCTCTTTGAAAGCTGCCTGAATGGCTGCTCACCTCATGCTCTGCTGTCCTCCCAAAATCAAAAGCCACGCATGTGTGGTTCTTTGGTTTGCCAAACAGGTTGCTAGTGTGAGCACAACTGACCAGTGACAATGTGGCCATCTTTCAGGTTATTATTTTCCAAAATGCACACGCATTTTTAGATATTCCTCTCAACCTTCTGGCAGCAAGTTTAAAGATCCTTTAGGACTGTTTGAGGAATAATCACAAAAAGATGTTTAACTGGAAAACCAAAGGAGGAGGCACTCTTCTTTCTAAGCAAACATTCCTTTTCATATTCCTTGATAAAACTATGCTTCTCATCTTCGTCGTGTTGAAGGTCAGCTGACTTCTTTATGAGAAATATCGCTGTCCGACAGAAAGTCGAGCCAACACCACTGACTACGCTCCTCAGCTGCAGTTGTTGCACTGAAGGAGGGACCATCGTAGAGTACTTCTTCCGCTTCTCTAAAAAGCCTGAGGCTATACATTTTTTCCACTTCTCTGAAAAGCGCCCTGCAGCCTTTAGCTTGTTTTTCAGCGTTAGTCACACATTTCAGTTCTTAAAATAACACTTGATGTGTGAAAACTCAGCAGTGATATCAGCAGACGCCCAATAAGGCAATGAAAGTTTGGCATCCCAGCTTCGTCTTTTTGTCCGAACCCAAATCTGACAAAAGGTCAGAGGCAGCACGGCTTTGATTATATCCAACCTTTTCTTACTGTGACCGCAATGGCGTGCAAAGCTCTACTTTACTGGAAATTGATTTCTGTATTTTTCAGATCTATGGTGATGTTTAGCAGCAACTGAATGAAATTTGCTGGTGTGTTAAAGTCCTCTGTGACAGCTGGGGGAGGTAAAAACATGTTCTCCCCATGCATTCATGGCTTTTTTTCCAGGTACTGCGGCTTCCTCCCACCATCCAAACGCATGCATGTTAGATTACTGGGTGTCTCTACATTAACCTAGGACACCTAGAGCATGTTTGTTTATTTCTGTGCGGCCCTGTGATGGACTGGCACCCTGTCCAGGGTGTACCCTGTCTTTTTCTGAAAGACCGCTGGGGCAGGCTTATTTAGCAGGCACAGTCAATGAATGAATGGGATGAGCAGGAGAAATTTAAACAATATAAAGATTGTGGTCTTAGTTATGCCAGCAAAGATACCTGAGGATAGTGAAAAGAAGATAATGCAAAAAATTAGAAAATTATAATAAATGGAAGGTTTAGAGGATGAGATAAGCAGATGATGTCTAATTGGATGTAGTACAGAGCACCTGAGGTTGTGCCAGAAAAGGAAAATAATGTTCTCTAAGTATGAAACCCAGAGTTTAAATCTTCCCCGCAGCTCCATGTCGTTGTAGATAAGCTATGTGATAACTACTTCAACCAGCTCAAAGACAAGCCAGTGGATGACAGGCTTTGCTCCCACAGAGATTGCTTAAAGTTGGGCCTACCAAACCTTTACGGCACAGTAGGCCTGGAGTCGGGAACAGGCTGTCGGTGGAGAGTCTTGTGTCATATCATATCCATATTCATCCCATATGTTTGAAGTCGAAAGAGGGCGGCTTTAATAATCATGGCTACATGGTGTTCAAAGAGACATGAGACATGGAAAGAGGAGGAATATAGAGTGAATGAGCAACTTCAAAGAGTTATTGCACACACTCTCATATATACACATTACTAACAGACACTCGTATGCATGTACAACGTACTGTATTTACACATGAACGTCTGTAACCAAAGGCGCCACTGGGAAACGTGAGAAAAATATTGCCACACATGAGACGCACTGTTCAGTAAAATTAATCATCACAGCAATAAGTATAAAAGTGAATGATTTCAAGCTAAGAGGAACCAACTAACTGCTTCATCCAAACAGTTGCTTAAGCCCCTCATGATGATAGATACTGTCAACACATGGTTACTTTAAAAAAACATCCCTGTTTGCCAGCTATATATACATATATATACATATATATATTTTTTTTTAAATATAGGAGCCTTTCTACTGACACTCTATGGATGTACAGTTACAACTAAGAGCAATGACGTCTCTCTCTACATATGAGACACATGCCTTAAGCCAAAACAGCCTTTCATCCTCCAAAAGCCATGCATTATTGATGACTAAACCAGAGAGAGAGACACCGAATCCCACACTGATTCCCAGTGTGACATTTGGCTGCTGAATATGTGCATGAATGCATGTCCGTGTGTGTGTGTGTGTGCATATGTGCATCTGTGACTAAACAGGTGGGCTGGATTCTTCTGGTGATTAGCTAAGTAAACTGTCAGGGAACCAATGAGAAGGCACATGATGACAATGGAACAGCCATTGGCTCAGGCTCATTACTGCCAACATGACAACAAACCTCTGTGACCAACTGCCATCACCAGTGCCTCCACTAGATTTCTTTTTGCCTTGTTGCACATACTAACATTTCACATGTGTGATGCCATCATTTCAAGAGCTTGCTGACGCAACACTTGTGTTTACAATGAACCCTGAAGCCTGCATCGACACATAGCAAACTTGAGTTCATTTCTATAATAGAATTCAAGTTGCTGTTTTCCCTTTTCCAACATCAATGTGAAGCAAGCAACAAAAACAAAAAACACCAGCCTTGGTCGGTTAGGCAGAATAGGACTGGACCATCCAGCCCGACTAAACCCTTCGAGGAATTTATTCAAGAATCACATTTTGAAATAAACCTAAAGGTGTAAGAAAAAGGTGCCAGTGAACACAAAAGTAATGAGCTTATTTCAGTGGAAAGAAAAAGGCTTTTGCCGGTTATGTTAGTCAGAAGCTTACATATGCGAAACTACCTGGTTTTACTGGGAAAACTTCACCATATTTTCATCATATCTCCGAGCCCACCAAATAACTAGAATTTTCTGTTATTATGGCAACAATGGAAATATTTAGTTGATTGTTTACACAAAGAAATCTGTTCTTTTTTTTTTTACAGCTTAAACAAGTATCTTGTTCTCTTTATTTCAAAATAATGATCATACTTACCTGGCATGCTTCATATATTTGCAAACATTCAGAACATCTCGCTCTCACCAGTTAATGGCACGCAAACAAATTACTCTGTAGGGCCTCACCAAAAAGAAAAAATATCTATAGCAGAGTAAAAATTAAATGAATCGTGGTTTGCTGCTGAGCCTGTGGGAATGTGCAGTACATTGATGTTTCTAATGAAGAGCGCTGAGCTCCATTGATCCACCAGGGATGAGAGTGAGCTGTCAAAAGCTATCAGGCAAGTCGAACACCCACTTTTAGCTATCTGCAGCCAAAGCCAGCGTGAGGCAGCTAGAGAAGGAAAAAAAAGAGTCAAATCTCTCAGAGAAAATGGCACAAAAGGGAAGCACAAACTCACAGCTCTGATGTCTTCAGAGGGTTAAAGAGGTAATTCGTTTAACAAAGTAAAATCACATTTATGACAACTAAGCTCACAATGTGGAAAATGTTAATAATGAGCTCAGTGTTGATCCACAGGACTGGCAGATGTGTTCGTTTAAGTTTTTGTAAGCGAGCTAATCAGTTTTAGAACTATTTGGGTCTGATTATTTACGGCTGGAATCAGTTCATTCCCTAATAACGGTTTTATTGTATGAGAAATTTGTTCAATCTGAATAATGTGACAGAGCAAAAAACAGCATTCCTGTCATTTAAAGTTATTTAAACATGTGTAAAATAACTTACATAATAATGATGCCTGTCCGGCTGGCAGAGCTATACTCGGACATAGAAATTATTGCACTGATTTCAAAAGTGAAAGCAGGATTAAAATGGATTAAAATGGTGCCCAGATGTAAAGTCAAGTGGAGTACCACTGAATATAATGTAAAAGTGGAAGACAGGTTTGTATAGGCAATACTGTATGAAGATTAAAAGGGGATGGATGGTTTTTTTTTAGTGGAACATGTTATGTCATGTCCACTATATAGTCCATGCATTTTCTATACCAGTTTAATCTAAATCAGGATTGTGGAGGGTGTGCAGCATATCCCAGCTGCCACTGGGCAAAAGGTAGGATATAACCTCAATGGCCCATTAAAGAGAAGTTTTTTTTTTATATAAATCATGAAAAATCTTGACATTTGGCAATATCAGTTCAATCCTGTCAGATTAATTGGCCTTTTCTTTAGTTTTCCAACAGGCAAAAAGTTAATGATGGGAAATTTCTAGGACCTGTAGACATAGTGACGTCTTTTCTGAGCAACTTAACACATCATCAAATTGTACAGAAACTCTGTGGTGCTGTGGCTATCGCTTGGTCTGTAAAGGACAAAACATGAGGTTTCAGGAGGTTATGCTGAGCTGCTGCTGTTTTATGATAACAAGCAAGCAACCCACACATCTTACTCTGAGAACAAGCTCGAAGATCCCAGATCATCAGTGCTTTCTGACCAGTTCCATTTTACAGCATCACATTTTTCATTTTCTCAATCTCCTTCTGACAACATCACTGCATGGGGCTTGCTAGTAATTACAGTGGGCTTGCAGCCATCCTCCTCCTAATACTGCACACAGTACAGGGGACTTTTAATCACAAAAGTTGCAAGGGGAGAGTAATCTTTCGAGCTTGTGTCGTCACAAGCTGGAAAAAAAGGGAGAAAATCTCTAGCTTTGCTGGGACTTAAGAACGATTATGAAACAGCAAAAATGCAATGCGTCAGTAAAACTGTTTCCATTACACTGTGTGGTTAACCCGTCCATGCACTTGCTCTCAGGCTTGTAAAGGCTCACATGCACGAAGATGCATGCAAATCTTTCCATCCAAAGTGTGCCATACACAAATGATGTCTCATCAACGTGACAATCAAACAGATAACAAACAATGGGATTTTTGTTACTGCAAAATTGGAGTGACGAGCCATCACTGTTTGATGGACAATGTATACCAAAAGGAAATGGATAAAAAGTCATACATGGCATGGAAAAAGACAGAATTTATCAGGATGATTTGCACATGAAACTGAAAATTGAAAAGAAGTCATCCACAGGAAATGTCTGGAGGTTAAAGCAGCCCTTTGAGGCGCACTTTTAAAGTTTGGCCAGTTTTGAATGCAGGTTTGGCATGGTTTATCAGTGTGCACACAAAGCAACACCTTGAAAAATGCATTGTTGTTATTACGTTAACATTAAACCTGATATGATGATGTGATGTAATATGATGGCGTTTTTATTGATATAAAAATTGGGAAGATTCAAATGCCATATCCATTAGGACTTTTTAATAAAGCATGATCAACTTCTATAAAACCACAAATGTGATGATGGTGAATATCAGGAAATAAATAAATAAGGGTAGATATCAGTTAAAGGTGTCTTAGTGATACTTTTGCAAAGTATTGTGTATATATGTTATTGTGAGGTAATCCTATCCATCTCTGACAAAACCATAATAGTAAGTCTACATATGCAACAGTTATTTCATAGGAAAATACTAGAAAAAACATGATGTTGCTGAAACATTTTTAGTAATAAATAACTCGAATGCCAAGGCATTACGATTTGTCATTTTTGTCTGTGAGGGACACAGCTTTACTCACCTCCAAGCGACGTGCTGACAGTTCAGTTGTACAGCATTTATGGAGATGACTGCAGAGAGACTGTCGTTTGCCGCTAAATAAGTAGATACTGATAACTTCCCTTGACTGAACTAATGGATGCTCATAGAAAAACTCTGCCGTGCACTTTTTCGAATTAAAATTCACAAACTAGTTACGTTTACATCCCATGACGACAGAGCCTCCTCGCTCTTTAAGAGGATAAAAAATAACTTGCGCCGTGTGGGGTTTCGTGGTTTAAGATTGGTCACTATCGTGCATTATGATTTTTCATAGAACCAATCAAACTGCTTCAAAGGCAGGGCTTTGGTGTGATCATTTTATACCACAATGCCGCCCGGCATGTTTTTCACTATCACGACAGACTGCTTTTCATCCGGTGGAGCTGGTGGGAATACAAAACAAGCATACCCCTAATGAATGGCAACAGTGCTTGTGAGAAAGCTTCATGGAAGTTGTAGTTCAGCAAGTAGATTGCCACGGTTTTCGACAATAGGAGAGAAACGACCTCGAAACTACATTTCCACCATTTTCAGCGCCGTTGACAGTGCTTGCATCAGCGTGTACAGCAGTCACCGGCAGAGTTATCACTGGCCACTTGTGTTCTTCAGAGTTAAAAAAGTATTAACATTAGTTAAGTCCGCGAGCCGTTACTCAGCATAGGAGCTGTCAACGACCAGATGAAGCTGTTTGTAAGTGAAGGTAACCCGCACTGCCTGAAGGTGTTAGCCGCGCTGGATGTCTCTGGAGTTCAATGCAGTGTTCAGTTTGTCAACCACGAAGGTAAAACCGCATGGTTAGCTTACCGGTATTCTGTCACTTTAATGATAAAAGGTCTGGTAGCATCTTTTGCTTGGCAAAACTGGCTTTTCGTGATATGTAGCGTTTTGAACTGTGAGCACAACGCTTGCTGATACGCTCGGTTATAACTTGTGTGAAGCTAGCTTGATAACTAGCTCTCAGTTAATGACATTTGAAAGCAGCTGTCAGAGTGAGTTGACTGAACAGTTACTGAATCTGAGAACCAGCTAGAAAACACTCCTACTGCACAGAGCCCATGACTTTGTCTTGTTTTTAGTATTGTTTGTGCTGCTGAATAGCATGCCATGGTAAGCCATGCTGCAGGGTTCTACCTGCTTCAGTTTGTATTTAATGTAGGAGACTGAGCATGTTGAGTGGAGAAATGTCACTTTGTTGTAGTTGGGATGATAGGGCTTTTGATTTAGATCTAGTTCTTTAAAGCATCATAGAATATTAAGGACATGTGACATATTTTGTGGTATATATTTCTTCTCCACATTCTTCAAAAAGGTATTTCGTTAAGTTGTGTGTTTAGGAAATATTAGTTGTAAGTTGACAGTTGATCTTGAACCTGCCCACATTTTCAGGTGAATGTCTGATCTGTCATCCTGCTTTTCCACCTTTCCCTTCAGGGCAGGCTGTACCCCTCTAAAAGGTCCTGTTGATAAACAGGGTCTGTTTTTAAACCTATGTATAGAGTGTATATATATATATAGAGAGAGAGAGAGAGAGTGTAGTCATTTTTTAACATGGTGAATTACTTAAAAAGTATCTTGAGACATTATTATAACGTCATACTAATGGTTTGATCCCAGTGCCCACAAGATAAAAAATCTTAAAAACGGAGTGCGTAAATGAAAGAAAACTGTCAACAGTACTGCACATATGTTTCATGCCTAAATGCTATCAGATAGAACTGGGTGTGTTTTTGGACATAACGTTTTTACTACTTTTTCTTTTAGAGAAAGTGGTGCCCTTCTTAAGCCGTCCAGCTCTGCCAGCCCTACTTTTACCCAGTGGACAATTCCTCTTCAGCTCCAATGCCATTTGCAGGTCAGTAAACTGCACTTTATCCATTCAGTATGGCTAGTCATGAATTTCAATTCAATATAAGTAAGAATTGCACAGAAATCTGAAATTTGATATAGAAAAATGTCAAATGAGAAAAGGATTTTTCTTTCTTCTTTTTCGGTAGAGCCATGCAAATAGCTCTGCATCGTCCATTTGATTGAAAAAAGTATATCTGCCATGGAATTAATACAAATGGGAAAAGATTTATCTGTAAAAAAAACTATTTTCAAAAAGTTATTTGGTAACATTTAAATTTGTATTTGTTTTTCATTTTGAGGTACACTGTTAAAGACATATACACTTTATGTTCAGTAAACTGTAACAGAACGTAACAGAATATTTGTTGTTTTGTTCTTCATATTTCATGCTCAGATACCTTTTTGAGCTAAATGGACACGAATCCAGTGAGTCTTGCAATCAGTGGCTTGAGTGGGAGGCCACAGTTCTTCAGGTAAGCTGCCCCGTCAGTACAAAACTCTGGAACTGATTCTGAAAATGTTTCTCTTGCAATGCTGTTTCACTAAATCCTATTGCCATGAACAATCCTGTTACATACAGACAAATAAAAAAAGTTCATGTTTGTTTAAGGGTCTGAGGTCTAATTCAGCATACATATGATGTGAGGCAGGTTTCACCCCGGAAATGCCGCCAATCCATCGCAGGGCTGACTCAGAGACAAACAAACAAAACTGTTTTAATCACCGTAGACCCGATATAAATGTTTTTGACTGGGGTGGGACCCTCTAAGCCCTCACACGTACTGGGAAAACGTTCATAGGTCAAGCAGGGAAACGCCTAACTTGTGGTTTGAATGTCAACCCCACAACTCTGCTTCCCCCTCAGCTGAACAATTTACAGAAGTCATCGTTCCAAACTTTGTTTGTACTCTGTGTTGGATTTAGGGAAACGTGTATTACTTCAGTCACATTTCTTTGGTTTATCCGCTTTAATTAATGTAATTAAATCAGTTCTAATTATACTCTGTTCTGCCTTCTTTTCACAGCCTGCACTGCTGCGAGCATTTCACGTGGCAGTGCTGCAGGGAAAGAGATCAGAGGTGACCCAGGTCCTGAAGGGGCCCTTAAACTTCTTCGACCAGAGCTTAAGCAAAGGGAACCTGCCATATATAACAGGGGTGCAGTATATATCTCTTTTTTAAATGTATTTTTGTATGAGGTGCCTTAAACACATTGTTACTTAAACAAATCCTCTAAAAAGCAGAAATTCAGCTAACTTTACTTCTCACAAGTTGTTTGACTTTTTCCACTCGTGTCATTTTAAAGTGACAGAAAAGACCCACACTAAATATACAAGGCTATTTTTATGTGGTTAATTTGTTTTAAATAATTGCAGCAAGGAGGATTGTTTTGGGTGAAACTGTCTGGTGCCTTTTAAATCCTTTTGTCACAACATGCTTGGTTTATTTAACAGTTGTGGCTAATTCATTAAGAAAATTAAGAAATGAAATCATGCTGTTTCAGGAAGAGCTTTCACTTGCTGATGTTGTTTTGTGGGCTGCACTCCACCCTGTTTTATCGGAGGCTACACTCGTGTCAGGTTAGTACCAACGAAAACTCAAATCACCTTTATTTTCTAACCATTTCTCCAAATATTTCTTTCTTTTCTTTTTCTGCTCCTTTTATCCCCTTCGGTCACGCTTTTTCTTCTGACTGTCTGTCTTTCAGATGAACACAAGTCTGTGAGGACTTGGTTTGACCGTGTGGCTGCTTTGCACAGTTGTCAGTCGGCTGCTCAGAAAGTGCTGCAGGGAAAAGGCCTTCAGGCCATGAAGAGCTTCATGCAGAGGCAGCCTGCACCTCAGAGCAGCCAGTGCAGAGACTCGCCGCCATGCAACAGCAACCCTGCTGAGGTATCTGCTAGATCATCACTTTAGCAGTTATACTTCAAAGTACCTGACTGAATGGTATAGATTTGTTGGAACTTGAATGCTTAACTGCACTTGTGCCTGTACTTCAGGAATCTCTCTCATTAGGGATTTCTTGAAAGATTTATTTGTCTTTTTTTTCTTCAAACTCTAGATGCTCTACCAAAAAACAGCCTAACTTTAAAATTTCTAACATAGTTTTGTCTAACATTTGACATGTTCACATTCCCTTCAGTTATATTTAATAGTGGTCTCTTAAAAATGACCATCAATCCAACTCAATTAAAGCTAAACTATGAAATGCTTTTGGATATAGAGTACGCAGGTGTAATTTAACTCTTTTGTTTATAGTTTTTCTAAGTCTTATTATTTTGGTGGAAGCATGCGTAGATTTTCATAGTGTTCCTTAAATCTCGGCATAGTAGCTGTTCCTTCCAGTTATGAATACTCAGATTGGCCTCAGATAAGAGTTATATAACCTTATAAGTTGTTAAAAAATATTCCTTTGGAATTCTGTCTTTGGCTAGTGTGAAGAAGGTGAGCGTGCTGTGTCAGAGGAAGAGATGGCGGCAGCTGCTCTCACCTGGAGTAAAGGTTTGAACACCTGCTCTCCCGTAACAGCGAAACCACACCCCATGTGAGTTACTAAGGATGTCCTACGCAGCCAGTCGGTATCGTACTGTAATAATATTAACGACAACACTTTGGATCATCAGGGACAATTAGACATCGTCCAGTCGAATTGTTCGTGTAATGTTTGAGTGAAAGATTTGCAAAATTGTCAGTTGTTTGTGAGTTTTAAATTAGTTATTAAAAAATTTGGTTGTTTCAACGCTGATTCAAATTCCACTTTCTAAAAAAAAAGTAAACATTTCTCCTCATTAGTTTGCCACAGGAGGGAAGGCGAAATATCCTTGTGACCAGTGCCTTGCCATATGTAAACAACGTCCCCCACCTCGGTAACATCATTGGCTGCGTGCTCAGCGCCGACGTCTTCTCCAGGTGGAGATTAAGCTCCGTACTCTGTCTGTATATATGTGCCAGAGCAGATCTGAACATTCTGTGACCAAAAGCAGAGAAGAACACTTGTGTATAGTATTGTTTTTTTTCTAAAATATAGAATTTCACAGTAAACATTTTCCATCATAATGTAGCCTAATTGTAAAGGTATCTGCTATCAAGAAACATCTTCATTAATTATCCTCATTTTATCAAATATGAATTTAATATAATTTTATTCTCCTGCTGCCCCCCCCAACCATTTTCTATCCACTATTGGAAAACGGCCCCAAGGTATGGCCGCCTGCGGGGCTGGAATCTGCTGTTTGTGTGTGGCACAGACGAGTACGGCACGGCTACAGAGAACAAGGCCAGGGAGGAGGGCTTGACACCCCAGCAGATCTGCGACAAGTACCACGCTGTTCACTCCAGCATCTACAAGTGGTTCCAGATCGACTTTGACTTTTTTGGCAGAACCACTACGGAGAAGCAGACAGAGTAAGTTAGTAGGTCCACTGAAGGCCATCGACTCAAGACAGGATTTTCCTTTCGGTGAAAGAAGCTACAGCTCTACTCATAGCCCAATCCCACCACAGGGTGGATGTGCATCGGAAGCTGCTTACCCAGAATTGTTAAGAACATGAGTGTTGGTTGGCACTCAATACTGCTCACTTTAGAGGGAAAAGTCTAATTAATAAGTGAAGTCCGAAACAACGATTCGTGTAGGTTACAGGAGTAAGTATGTTGAACACTTGGCAAATAAACCAAGGTAGAAAAGTTCATTTTGACTGTCAGGTGATGCACATTTCATGCTGAAAGTTTCCTTTTGTAGTTTCAAAAGTGTTGATTTTTTTCCTTTGTTGAATTATTGAAAAAAGGAAGTGGTGGAGTGGATGCAGGTCCCTGTCTAGTGTTAGGAAGCCATTTCCAGTGGCTATTTTTGAGCAGTTGTTAAAAAAAACTCAATGGGTTGTGGAAAGCATTAATTGTTTAAAAATGAAAAATGGGATACAAATATGAGGGAAAATGGCACCAAAATCCCTTTGCTTCTACACTGAAAATGATGACAAAGATAGAAACTCTTGTTTTGGGGCTTTTGCTTTGATAAAGTACAACATAAAAGGCATCAAACACCAAGCACCAGCGCCATGCTCTTTGAGAAATGAAAACAGCCGTCAGAATAAAGACTTTTGACTTTATTCATGAGAAGGGCTTTGGGGCTGAGTTCCTAAATTTTAGATTTATCAGCTCACAACCCAACCAACAGTTTCATTTTTTTCATACTGTTTTACTTTTTACTTTTCCCGCTAATCAATAATTCGAACTTGCCTCCCTTGATCTTCTTGTGAGTGCACCACTGTATGTATTTCTTCTACACTAATTATGATAGCCTTCTTTATTTCCAACCAACACAGTGGAACAGTAAGTTTAACCATTGACAAGTCTTTGCTCAGATTGAGGTGACTGTCATTGTATCTTGAAACCTAATTGATGTGCACCACTCATTTTTTTTTATTTTTCTCCTGTTTTTTAATACATTTTTTTAGGATAGCTCAGAATATTTTCTGGCGTCTCCAAAAGAACGGATACCTCGTAGAGGACACGGTTGAGCAGTTACGCTGTGAAAGCTGCCAGCGTTTCTTGGCTGACCGCTTTGTGGAAGGCGTGTGTCCCCACTGCAGCTACCCAGAAGCTCGCGGCGATCAGTGTGACAAATGCGGCCGCCTAATTAATGCAGTGGAGCTCAGGGTGAGTTTTTCAGCAGCTGTTTGCTCGTCCACAGTCATTTTTCTGAGTTTATAATGATTTCTGTGGGACCGATTCTTCGGAATCCACTTGCTGCCACAAAGTGGAGAGTTTTGGCCTATCGCTCAGCCGTGGCAGTATGACGGACAGAGAGCTGTTCCAATTGACACACGCACACACAGAAACATCTGATGTTTCCACAACTCAGACGTTCGGCTTGATAATTTGGCAATTACGCACTTGACCCTTTTTTGTTATGTACTATCTGTTCCAATTAAAATGGCCACTTTTGTGCCCTCTGGAAGACTAAAATAAGTATGTCTTTACTCATTCAGCCAAATGTCTGTTTCATTTTTTAAAATGTTTAGGTGAATGTATCATTCTTTCTGGAATATCATCTTTTTTTGCTATTACAATCTAAAAGTTATAATAGTTTGATAAAATATGAATAATAACACAAATGCTCTAAATGTCGCCACACCAGACCTTTAGACAGCAGACAGCAACAAACTTATTCGATCAGTCTATGGGTGGATGTATGCTTTCAAAAGTCTGGTTAAATTTAGCCTTAATCAGTAATGCTTAGGGTTGACTGTCCTCTCCAGGAACCCCAGTGTAAGGTGTGCAAGCAGACCCCAGTAATCCGCACCTCCAAACATCTTTTCCTGGACCTGCCTAAGGTATGCTTTTCGCACAAGGTAATAGCTTGTCTGTCTTTCAGCTATGCAGCGCTCCTTTTGGTCACAGAGACAGAGTAATCCAGTTTAGTTCATTTAACATTGCGTTCAGAGGCATTGCTTGGGGATGGTACTTATCCCTTTGGTAATGTTATTACAGAAATGCTTTTACTCTGTCTAAAGCTGGGCTTCAGAGTTAAGATATGGCTTGTTTTGAGAGTACATTTTTTTCATTTTCTCCCTGTATCCTATGTAGCTAGAAACGCAGTTGGAGCAGTGGCTGGATGAGTCCACCAGCACAGGTGATTGGACAGCAAACGCCAAACAGATCACACGGTCCTGGCTACGGGATGGACTCAAGCCTCGCTGCATCACCAGGGACCTGCAGTGGGGAACACCAGTACCTCATCCTGACTTCAAAGAGAAGGTCTGCTCTTTTCACTTCATTCGTACAAAAAAAAGTCAGCTGTAAAGCATTACTGAAACCACATCTTCTGAGACTAAAGGAAGCAAGACTGAGCGACTACTACCTGTGTATGAGATGGCAACCACGATCCAAACAAAAATATGTCCAACGCAGCCCACAGCACACAATTAAAGGCCATCCCTTCATGTTATTTGAATTACTGCCTTAGTTTAAGAGCTGCCTTGGCTTACTTGACTGATTGTGAATACACAGTAGCGCCCAGAGCAATGAGAATAAACACCCTTGTTCTGCTAATGGGGAAAGAATTTAATTAAATTTTATAGCTGATGTAACTTAATTTGAAAACATTATTTAAAAAATGCTATCAAACATTTATGAGTAACAGTGCCATAGTAGGATGTAGCTGCATTTCTTGCCTTTACTTATTGATAGAATTACTTGTTTTTCATATAGGTATTTTTGTGGAACAGACTCCGTCGAACCATCCCTCTGTACCGTTTGTAAAAAGATCCACGAGTTTCATTTTGTTGTTCAGGACTCTCCTCCTCTTTCTGCAGGTGTTCTATGTGTGGTTTGACGCCCCTATTGGTTATCTGTCCATTACTGCCAACTACACCAATGAATGGGAAAAGTGGTGGAAAAATCCTCATCAGGTACTGAGCTCCAACCCAAACACATGTCCGAATTTATGAGCCAAACAAAAGGGTCTACACACAGGCTCTACTTTCAGACGGAGGGGGGGGGATTGTGTATGTCGATGCCCCATCTGGTCTTTATTCCCTCCAACTGAACATGGTGTAATGACAGTGTAATTACCAGCTCCAAAGTGAAAAAGAAAGACTACGTTTTCTTTAACGTTCAATTTTACACCATCACTCTAAAACAGTACAATACACACACAGAGGTTTGTAACCCAATAATGCCATATGTATCATATTTGGTTCATACGGTTTCTGAAATGTTTAGAATCTGAGACCTTTTGCATTTAATGGTAAAGACTTTTCTCAAAACCCTGTTTTACACAGTTAGATATACCTGATAACAGCAGACAGAAGACTAAACAACTTAAGAAATAATGAATATTCAAAAATAATTTCAGTTTTTTTATTATTCATATTTTGTTAAAGGGCCAAATAAATACTTCAAAAAAAGAAACAACATTTACACTATGTTGTCTTGGATCAGACTTTAAAGGGGTTAAGAAGCAGTATACAAGATTAGTTCCTGCTGTGAGGCCGGCCTATAAAAGCTTTTTTAAAATCTTTTTAAATGGATGATTCATAGTTATCATGCTGCACCCAGCACCACCTAAAATAGAAGAACTGTTTGACACAATTAGAGTTTGATATGTTAAGCACACCACGCACGCAGCTTACCACTCGTATGCTAGCAGATGTCAAACAGGAAGCTCAAACTAATTAGCTGGCTTGTTCGTGTACATATGGACTCAACAGAACTTAAGTGTGAGAGATAGAAAAAAGGGAAAAATGACATGCACTCTCATAGCCTCCCATGCTCATCTCATCTCTTTCCATGCAAACCCCCAGGATTGAGCCCCCTTTCTGAGTGTGTGATGCCCTGTATTTGGAGAGAAAAGGGGAGTGGGGAGTGGGTGGGGGGGCAGATAAGTCCTCTTTGAACTGGATGATCTCATGATGATCTAATATGATGTCATCCTCACAGTGTGGTGTTGTGTCTCTGCCACCAGGTGGAGCTGTACAACTTCATGGCCAAAGACAATGTCCCATTCCACAGTGTGGTGTTCCCCTGCTCTCTACTGGGAGCGCAGGACAACTACACTCTGGTCAACCACCTAGTTGCCACGGGTAAGCACTTATCACAATAAACCCAGCTGGCCACATGATTAATTATTCATATGATGTGTTATCCAGTGGGCTCTGCGGTTAACAGCAGGGGCTTGTTGCTGGATTGGTCATCTTGAGCTGGGACTGTGACCGGGGCTGCTATTTCTCTCTCAGAATATCTGAATTACGAGGACACAAAGTTTTCCAAGAGTCGCGGAGTGGGAGTGTTTGGAGACATGGCCAAGGACACGGGCATCCCATCTGACGTGTGGCGTTTCTATCTCCTCTACGTGCGCCCCGAGGGACAAGACTCTGCTTTTTCTTGGGCTGACATGGCTTTGAAGAACAACTCTGAGTTGTTAAACAACCTGGGGAATTTCATCAACAGGTCGGTAAAAGCTGTAGGTTGAAAATTTGAAAAGGAAAGTAGGGTCCGCTTAGTCAGCAATGGTATCATTTTTTTTGTTTTTTCAAATTGAGTTTCCCAGTGATCTCCATATGCTGAGCTACTGTTTCTTGAAGGTTTATGTAAAGCAAAATCTATGTGTTTCAAGACTTTCTGGACTGAATGTATTTTCGTCACCAGCAATAGGAGAAAGAATTCCACCTTTTATTGCAAAAACTTTCACTCAGAGTTTCACTCTGAAATAAAGTTCTGTGATCAAGTCCAATTAACAACATCAAGTTTTCAGATTTCCTGTGCTCCTTGGGGAAAAGTCTGCTACTGCAGTAACTATTATGAGACACTCACCCTAGTTTTGTAAATTTGTTTGGGATGGCGTAATTTAGCCCCAATTGCATTCCCTCAAATGATTTTAAAAGATCAGGGTTAAATCCCACATCAAAGATTTTTCTCACCAGCTTTTTTTTTTTTTTTTCAAAGTACCTTGATCTTCAAAATTGGTCTCAGGCAGCAAAGCTGATGCCTAATTGGTTCAAAAATATCTTGTAGATTACAACCACCTCAAGGTAAAAAAAATAAAAAATCTGCAAGAATTCTGTCCTCGCCTGGATCCATTCACAGAGTCGATGCACAATTAGTGACAATTTAAAGGTGATGCTGGGCAGCAGTGTTTAGTCTTATTGCTGCTAATCAAGCGTTTAAGAAAATAATTTATGTTTTCCAGTTAAGACTACAATAAAAAAAACACTAAATCCCACTTATTAATAGATTCACTGATTTAAAAACAAAAGCAAACTGAAGTCATTAAGACATTGGGTCATTGTAAATATAACAGCCTTTTGTGTTTTTTAGTCTGCAAACTTTTGCAGACTGCGGAGATGTTTTGAATATTTAACATGGAGGTTGCATCAGACGCAAACACAATAAACATCAGTCTGATGTACACACGGAACTCATCAAAAATTACTAACCAGCAGAGCTCAATGCAGTGCTGCATTAAGTTGAGTCGCACAATGGGAATGTCTGTCATTTATGAACAATTAGCAAGTCAAATAACATCCTTTTTTTTTTTTTTCATTTCATGCTAACTCTCACCCTCTCCCTCACAGAGCTGGCATGTTTGTTACTAAGTTCTTTGAGGGGTGTGTGCCGGCCATGGAGCTACAGCAGGAGGATAAAAAGCTCTTGGCCATGGTGGGCTGGGAGCTGAAGCAGTACCTCCAGCTCATGGACAAAGTCAAGTACGACCAGCCGAAACCTCTAAATGTTAAAAGAAATAAGGAAACAAAATGTTATATTGGATTTAGACAGACATACAAATTTAGCTTTATAACGATGTTACATAATTTGTTGTAAAATCTATGAATGCTATTCACTGACGTAGAATTTAGATGGTTGTTGTTTATAAAATGCCCTTTTGACACAGCATCCATGCCTCTGCAATGTTTCACCAGAATCCGAGATGCCCTTAAACACATCCTGAATATTTCTCGTCATGGCAACCAGTACATTCAGGTCAATGAGCCCTGGAAGAGGATTAAGGGAGGAGACTCCGAAAGGTATGATGGCCCTGAGAGGTTTCATACAATCTGTAAGTGTGGAGCTTTGCATGAGTAGATGGATGGATCTGATCTGTGTGTCGTGCTGTTAGCGGTGACTCAAATGCGCAGAGATGGAGCACTGACATTATAAAAGGGTACTTTTTTTTAACCTCACCATCATGTATCCGGGAGCTTTAGGAATATCTGATGTTTCTGACCAGCTGATCTGGTGTGTTTGTTGTCTTCAGGCAGCGTGCTGGCACTGTGACTGGTGTCTCCGTGAATATCGCCTGCCTGCTGTCCGTAATGCTCTTGCCTTATATGCCAGCGGTCAGCCAGACCATCAGGGATCAACTCAATGCTCCTCCGTCTTGTGTCAATACCATGCTACAAGGCTCCGGGACCTTTGTATGTGCCCTGAGTGCAGGCCACCGCATCGGCGCAGTGAGTATGATCCCAACATGTGGCATACACAAGTCGAACCCGTGCAGACACACAAGACTCCCTGTATACTGACGCCGGGTGATACAATGAGGATGCAACAATCTGTCAGTATTTCAATACTGGGGAGGCTTTGGGAGCTTTGTGAACGTACACACACTTGTGAATAATAAGCTCAAGAGTGTGAGAGGGCCTCTGCCTTCCAGCAAACGGCAACTTTCTCTCAGGCCACTTGTCCCTTTAGGTTTAATTGTCGGGACTTGTGTGTGCAGCAGCCTTCCAACGCCGCATTCAAACACCAAAGCCACTGTGACTGGCTTCTGCGGGCTCCAAACAAAGAGCAGGACCGTGCATGAAGACCACACAGAGCTCAGGAGCGCACGAGCTCTCTTGATAAACTGTGTGTGTCTTGGTTTCACTTGAGCGTAGGACCCATCACCAACAACAGAGAATTTCTCTCGCTTAAATCTCCTCATTCACATAGTCGTCTTTAGTCATAGATGAGCACAGAGCCTCCAAATAAATATTTCAGCAATACCGGCCTTGGGTTGAATCCACTATTCTAAACTTTTTGTGAATTCATGCATATGCATGACTTCGATTTCATTGCCTGTGCCAACCTGTTTTATTCCCAGGTCAGTCCGTTATTCCAGAAACTGGAGGCAGACCACATTGAGTCTTTGAAGAAGAGATTTGGCGGGCAGCAGGTATTTGATGTTTATGATTGCTAATGATCCGTGCATGCATTCAGTCAGAACATGCAAGGATGTAGATTCACCATTTATGAATAATGAAGTAAGAATATATCATGAATAACTGTTCACATGTTTCTGTCAGAGTGCTGTCATGATCATCATTTGCATTTAATTTAAAAGTCTGGTGTTTATGCTACTGCGCAAATGCTGCGTAAATGTGTAAATTAAGTAGAAACAGTCCATCATATAGATGAAAATAATATTAAAAATAAATGAATAAATAAAAGATCATCTCTGTAAAACCCTTCTGCCTCTAGCCTGAAGATGAACCATCTAATAAGAAGGTATTGAGTGCTATTTGTTTGTGAAGAGTCGCTTCACGCCGCTGCTGTCCATGTCCATTACCGAACCCCCTGACTCACACTAACCACTGATTTAACGCCTTTGTGTTTTGGGTTTTTGTTACTCATCCCACTGTGACCTTTAATCCATTCAGATGTAATGACTCATAAAATCAGGTCGACAGTTTGAGTTTTGAGTGCAATTGTCTAAGATGAAGCAAATAATGAGGAAGCACAATGACCATTTAAATGGCTTGAATGCTTCCGCATCTGTTTACACAGACGACACAACAGAGCGCCGCCGGCTCTCAGCCCGCCGCTGCTCCGGCTCCCGCTGTCGCTGTCGAAGCCACACCGGTGGTCGGAGCGGACCCCGAGAAAGCAAAGCAGCTCGCAAAGGCTGTGACTGAACAGGTTGGCGACACTTTTCATCTATCAAACCCAAGCAAAACATTTTTTAAACATTTAAAGCAACCGTCCAAACGACAGTTTCCCGTGGGAAGAGAGCTGGCCATTTTGTTTCTTTCCATTAAAACATTATTTGTCGTTGAAGATTTAAAAATTTTAGATATATATTAAAAAAACTTGATGTTAAAAACGGATGAGAACAAAGTGAAGATTTTCTCTTAATAAAAAAGAAAGCTACTGGAGGGATAAGTAGCTGCCGATTTTAAATCAACACTTAATCCGTATTATTACCAGGAAAATATTTTATATCAAAACATAATTGTCTAAATGAACTAATTAAATCTAGCTGAGTAGATTATACATTTTAGCCTATAAAACACTCAAAAAATGCAAACTTTAATGATGGTTTTGTCATTTCTAATGGAAATTACGCTGTTTTTCAAATCCTTGTCAAATTTATGAAGAATTGTTTTCTATTTTTTTTTTTTCTTCCCTCTTGCTTGTCATAGGGAGACAAGGTTCGAGCACTCAAGGCCCAGAAGGCAGAGAAAGATGTGATCACAACAGAGGTGTCCAAACTGTTGGAACTGAAGAAACAACTGGCTCTTGCGGAGGGGAAAAGCCCAGAGCCTGCACCTCAGAAGGGCAAGAAGAAGTGAGAGGGAAGCAAAAAGGGAAAAATCAAGATTAGTCAGACGAAGGAAAGACTACAATGGTTGGAGGTATGATGGTGGTGAATGGGAACAAGATGTACACTAAGAGATGAGGGTATTAGCTTAAGGCAAAGCCGTGACAGGATCTAAGACAATGTGGTGTTGGCACCAAGGACTAATGAAATGCTGGATAGGCCGACGGGGAAAGGAAAACACACAAAGAGGCAGTCAAATGAACACAGCTACAGAATGAAGGGATTTTTCCAAATCCCTACACCAAAAGAAACTGATTTTATACTCTCCCTATGATAAAGTCAGCATATAATATTGGCATTGCAAGGTGTGTTGCACATCTAAAGATTTTTTTATATCCTCTGGATTTCTTTTTTGCTACAAATACCCTTTTTGGATCCATAAAATAAAGTGATTTAGGTTGAGCGAAAAAAAATGTCTGTACTCCCCCACCTTTGTTTTTCTCACCCTTCTTTGTTCTTTTTCTTGAAAAAAATCCAAACAAAAAAAGTGGCTTGAACAGCTGAACAATTAAAAAAAAAAACATTACAACTCAATTTACTCTTTTTCTTTTATTGTAAATTTCTTATTACAGTAATGTTTAAAAGAAATGGGACAATAAAATACAGTCATTTGATGCCAGTGATTTAAAAAGCCATGCATAATAGTTGACAAAGATTTGTGACTACACAAGAAAATAACATAATGTTGGCTGATCACGGTATAAGCAAAAAGGGTATGATTGTATATGTTACAGCTATATATAAAAATAGTTAATTACAAGGTAGAATTCTACCACAGAATCCCATAACAATAGAAAAGGTCAGCTTTGAAAGTATAGCCAGGTACTTGCTTTATGTAAATACACACACATAAGCCATGGGTTATACAAAGCTTAAAAAAGATAGGATTTTTTGTCCGAAAAAACAAACAAGCAAACAGAAGAGGGAAAAAAAAAGATGAATCATTGTCGCATACTCACACTGCATTGGGCACTTTCAAACTTTCCTGAGCTCCCAAACTCTCCACAAATTGGGGCAAATAATCTCTGCTAGCTGGATTGCAGCCCTTAAGTAGGAGTTAGAATTTATTGCAAGATGGTGGGAATAGATGAAAATGAAATGCTCTCTCTAACCCTCTTATCTTTGATACAAATACAAAATTACTCCGAACCTTTTTCCATTTGAAAGAAATGTATGCATTTCTTAAAATGACATTCTGCACATCTACTCCTTGATTTACAATTCGAGCTTTCTGTCCTCCATCACACATGCTGTGCCTTTTTATTTGCTGCAGTGCTGTTACAGCTTCTTCTCTCTGTTCCTTTCCTTATCCTGACTTTCATTACTTTCCTTGTCCATGCCATTTTTACCTCTCTTGTACAAAAATCCACTTTAAATTTTTCTTTGGTTTTCCCTCTTTTCTGTGAGGCATTTCCTGACCACCACGTTTACACCTTTCCCCACCATTGCTTCTTCAGATTCAGTAGGACCCTTCATCTTTTATTCCTCTTTCCCCCTCATTTCCTGGTATTAACTAGCCTCTCAATCAGGGCTCTCCTTGTCTTCTGTACCTCTTCTCCCAGTCTTTCGATCTCTGCTTTCAAACGCTCGTTCTGCTCTGTCAGCTCTTGTACCTTCCTCTCATTCTCCTGCTCTCTTTCTTTGCGACTCTTTTTGGTGGACGAGTAGGATGAGCGCTGTGTGGAGGAGGAGGAGAAGGAGGACAAGGCACTGTTAACCCTCTCGCTGGTGGTCCTCTTGCGTTTTCCCAGACGGGAGGACGGGTATACAGAGGGAGAGGGAGAAGAGACTGGTGAAGAGGGGGGAGAGCAATTCTGAGATGGGGACTGGGAGGCTGAAGATGAGGAGGATGGAGAATCTGGTACACAGGGCAGTTCCTCCTCGCTGGCAGAGGGAGATGCAGGATGGACATTATTTGTGTGTTGTTGATGGTGATAATAATAGCCACCGCTGATCACAGCTCCACTTGGATCCACCATTCCCACTCCTCCTTCACTCAGCAATTCGAAAAACTCCGGAGGGAGCAAATCACTGCCGCCTCCTGTCGAGTTGTCTCCACTTCTCCCACTCTCTGCATCCACCTTCCGCTCCTCTGCAACCGCTGGACTCATGCAGGAAGAGGAGGAGGAGGATGATGATGAGGAAGATGAGGTGTGATGCAGAGGCTGGGTGCTGTGGACCTCCTCTGTTGCCCTCTGTGCTCCTTCACCCCACGTCTGGTTTCCGTCAGTCAGCCACGTCAGAGAACAACTCTCCAGAACATCCAGAAACTCCGGCTCCCTCTAAGAGTGGAAAAGCGAAACCGTAAAGACGGTGTGTGTGTGAGTACACACACACACATATACATAAATATATATTTGTATAAAAATGTGTTGGAGAAAAAGCATCATCTCATTATGGGATGTTCCAGTTATTTTACTCTTCAAACTACTAACCTCTGTACATGTGGGGGCACGTACCACTTTTGCCCCTCCTGTGTCGGATCCCAGAATATCCTGCAGGTCCTCATACCACGCCTCCAACTCTGCACCATACAATGGCCCCACACCAGGGGGGTATGGTGGGGGCAGGTGTAGCCACTCGGCAGTCATTTCGCCAATCAGTCGCAACGCACAGATATTCGGCCGCACAGTTCACACTGGACCTGAAGGGGAGGGGCAGGCACAGGAAGATCAGGACACAAGGAGGAGCACGAAGCTACCTCACGCTAGATGACTGACAAGTTATTACAACTCCACCATCTAAAAAACAATACACAACAATAATTGTCATGATTAAGTATAAAGGGTGATGGAGACAACTATTTTTAAAAAATCTTAATACTAATGTATTGGATGACAAAGAATCCCAGACCAATCTACAATACACTGTGTAATTCACTTAACTGTAAGATGAAGTAAATGTGACTAAATGAATGGGGACAAATTTAATACTAGACTAACTGTGTGTCAAAATGAGGTTGTTTTAAAAAATGGGGTGAATTTTTTTTTTTCTTTTTTCTTTTTTTTTTATAAATGTAAAACTTAAGTTAACAAATATGCCAGATGTCAAATCTGGCAGGGGTTCGGTTTACCTTTGGGAAATCTGCTAATCAAGTCTGACAATTTGTCGAAGATAGCTTGTCCCTATAATTCTGAAAGAGAAAAAAAAAGTATAATTAGGTTAGTATTAAGGAATGAACAATAAATGTTTCATTCAACAGCTGGAATTTGCTGAGTGTTCAGAATAAAAATGATGATTTGCACAAAGAGAGCAAGTTTCAACGACTGGCAACAAAAGATGAATTAAATTAAGTTTAAGTATCTGCTTTGATGAATAATAAAGGTGTGGTAAAACTGAAAAAAAAAGAAACTTGGAAATTATCAATACCTTTTATATAAACAACCGGGAATTACAATTAAAGCTGAAAAATTCCTGTCACATAATTACTGTAAACAAAGACCGAAAGTGCTCTCTCCTGCGCCCCCTGCTTTTTACGGTCCTTAAAGCACGACCAGGTCGAAAAACAAGTGGTTAAAAACGGCATGGAAACGCATCAGTCTGTAGGTCTCACAGTCAGGTCAGCTTTTATTAATTACTTTCAGCTGTCATAACGCTGGCTGTTAAACAAAAGCCAGAATAATAACTATTAAGCTTCGAACTGACACGTTTTATACAAACAGGCCTTCAGCTTTTGTCTTTTATCATAGAAATAGTAATAAAAACGTGGAGGTAGCGGGGCCGCCGATTTTAACTTACAGACATGATTACAAAGCACTAATGAAGCCCTTTTAACTCGGTGTCAATTACTCAACTTCCCGTGTAATGCCACCGATCAAAACTTCGGTGTGATTAATAAAAAACTAAATAAATGTATTTTTTTCTTTCTTCGGTTTTTAGGGATACATGACAGCTGTAAGCCAAGACAATTACGTCATGGAAAGTCGAGCTGTAGGAATGGGCGAAACAAAAGGAAAAGTAGGTTGGTGAAAGGAGGATATTTATATAACTATATTTTCCAGTGGTAACAAAAACTCTAAACTGCATTGTAAGTCAAATACAAGCCTGTTAAAATGTTAAAGACACACACACACACACACAACAATTCGCTACATTTAGACAAAACAGCCCCAAGAAATACTGTATGAAAAAGAAAATGTATAGAGTAAATAAATCTACATATTTAAAAACACTTTAAAGTATCTATAATAATAGCCCAATGTGTCTTTGTCACATTTGACAGCTCAAACTTCTTTTAAAAAGTCTGTTTTTAAGCTTGACAACTTTGCAAACGAGGCAGAAAACACACAAAACAGGTCGATCTAAATGTTGATTGATTAAGGCAACTGTTAGTCTAAAAATGGCACTAGGCTATCTGCCCAAAACATGCACATCCCTTTTTCTTTTCACTACACGGGGTCCACTTCACTTCAAGTAGTTACTCCCCAAAACACCTAAAAACATCGACTAACAGCCAGCCACAGCCATCAAAAAGAATACCAGCTTACCCTTTTTCTTTTATTCGCTCGTCTTCTCGACTGTCGTGAATTTGAATGTAGATATTTTAGTAAAAATGTGTGATAGCTCATGATAACCATTGTTCAGTCTTGACGGCTGAATATGATTTTACGGAAACTCCCGGCGGTGTTTATATTGGTGGAGAGGCCAACCGAACTATGCATGGGAAGGTAGTTCGATAGCAACCTAACATGAAGAGAACAACAGACAGTACTACCATCCAATCAGAAGAGCAGAGTTCAGTTCTTCTCCTTGGTGACATCCAATAGAGTGGCACGATATGACTATCCGGGTGGGGTTTATAGTTGCTTCGACTGGTTGTTCACTGTACCCTGTATAGTTTGTACGAGCAGCAATTGTGATGCAGTCATAAGACGGCCAGGACGAATTTGGGGCGTATGGGAGTCACATGAAAGGAATGATGCAATGCTTGGCAACCAATTTCTAGCTGGGGATAACACCAGCAGAATCAGAACATGTTTTATTAAACACTGTTGGCTCTAACAAAAATCTAAAAATATACATATATGCATGGATATCTTATGTCGAAGAATTGTTTGTTTCCGGAGCACAAAAGCGTTTTTTTCTTTTTTACAATCTAAATTGAACATGGATGAAAAAAAAACGCAATCTAGCCAATCAATGTGACGCTTTTTACCCGTGACGTGTTTAGTAATTGTGTTGCCATTCTCCTGTTTCTGCTTTACTTTTTATTCCATGTTGTGTCGTTGTCACAAGTTTTCCGTCTGGGAGCTTTACAAACCTGCTTTACAGCATGGCGTACCCAGGGAACAAATTCACACGAGCCCATCTTTACTTTAACGTCGAAAATGGCGTGTTTCTTCAGAACCGGGGTCCGTTGTTTGTCATGTATCAAAAATAACGCCTCAGACTCGCGGAGCACGCGCGCAGCGGTCTCAGACATTTCATACCGCGCGCTCTCTGTAGCAGCGCCGCGAGACATCAAAACACACGCCCCGACTGGTGGCGCGAGCTGGCGGCGCTGGGCGTGAGCCAGCAGCAGCCTGTCCCCTCCTGTCCGGCCGCTTTCTGCTGCCGCCGGAACTCAGCAGAACCCCAAATTACCCGGTCCACTCCCATCCAATCTTTCCCTTTGTAAAGCATCCTTAATTGAATCAGCAAGGACTGCTTTACTCTGCTGTTATTTCAAGACAAACACGTTTGACCCCCCCCCCAGCAAATTTCCTTACATTGTCCTTAAAGAAAACAACTGTTAGTAAACCATACATGACTAAAGTTAACATTAGGTTGTTTAAAGGAACCTAATCTGACCTATATTAGCTTCTTAAATATGATAATATTTCAAATATGATCAATTACTGTGGAATTTTGCAAGTGTTTACCGTCTTTGATATGGCTCATGGATACATTGTAACTGTTGTTATCATTGTTACTGTTTGCCCAGTAAGGGGTTATTTGGTAAGATTTCAGACTTAATTAAACACGTAAAAAACAATTTAATCTCGATTAAAAGAGGCTTGGTGGCACCACGTAATATGTAAAAGTCTGAACAAACTTGCATATAGTTTGCGCATACAGGGGATGAAACTCCTGTTGCTTATTCGACCGTTGGGGTTAAAACCACAAAGTTCAACAAGGTCAACCATCCCAGACACAGCAGAGGTGTTTTTCTTTTCCTTTTTTATTAATGTCCCATAAGAGTTCTACCGTTTGTGATAAACAACAGAAGTGAGAAGAAAAAAGAAAAAAAAAAGGCGACAGAATAAAATTTAGATTTCATCATGTTCCACTTTGGACGCTCCTGACACTTTTCTGCCCTAATCCCAAACTCAGCACACACGAGCCGCCTTTCCCGCGCTCGCGCCCGGCCGCGCGCGCACAGCCCCATAGCAACAGCGTCAAGTAGCGAATAGAAAGCTCAAATACTGTCTCTAGGACCCGGGTTAAAGCGCTGCAGGAAGCACCGCGAACACGTCACGACGCGAGTGGCTGTTGCCGAGTAGTTGAGCATAGTTTGGCTGCTCCCCTCCCTCCCTCCCTCCCTCCCTCCCCAGCCCCGGCCGTCTGTTTATTCTGTCAGCCCCGTTGTCTGGGTTGTAGTCATTATACAACACTGTTTACAACCCCTCGTTCGGTTAGCCTTTATTTCAGCTTTGGCTAGCTGGGGCGAGAAAACGACGGTCAACTCCTTCCTTTGACTGACCACTTCTGGCCTTGAGAGTTGTGTTGTTGTTTTTTTTAAGTACACATTTTTAAGAAAAAAGCCACTGTGTTAGAATGAATGTTTATCCTCCTCATCTTCAGATAAGTTTTTTTTTTTTTTTTTTTTTAGTTTTCATTTGAGCTTGGCTGCAGGTTGGCTTCAAAGTGGAAAACTTTCCAAGTGGATCAGGTTTACGCCTCACCGGCTGATTTGGTGATGTTAGTTGTCACACTCTTGCTGCAATGTGGTATTTTGTGCCGCCCCATCTCATTAAATATGTCTAGTCTCCCTGTTGTCATTTTCACCCTAAAAAATACCTGTCAGATCATCATAATCACCAACTTATGGGGTTCAGCAGTGTGAGTCTGGTCCCAGAAGTTTGACACACCGATTTAATACTTCTTGGTTGAAATCAAACCCATACTCAGCAATAACAACAACAATAACAACAACAACAACAACAAAAAGAGAGACGGGGACGGGCGTTGATTTTGGCAGCGATGATCTCTGCAAAATCTAATCAAGGCGATTGATTTCTTTTGTTTTACGAGCTGATAGAGTCTGGGGAATTTCCAGCCGCGACACTCTGCTCCTCTCTTTCCGTCCTATGCCCTTGGTCAAGGCTCCACGCCCAGACACTCCCAACACACACACACACACACACACACACACACACACACCAGCTGTCGGAATCCTTCCCCTCTCTGAACTGAGACCAACTGATACAGCTGTTAGGCAGCACTGGTGATCGAGTAAATCCCCTCTTGTATCCCCCTGTTACCCCTCTTCATTGTTGACTTCAACCTTGTCCCCATGCGTCTTGACAACCAGGAGAAACTCAACAAAAGAACACATTCTGGGGCAGAGACGATGCCTTTAGACAATATGCTTACATCTACTCAGATAAATATTTTCTCTTGAACTTTTAATTTCCCCTCTGGGGCCACTGCCTGAGTGAGGGCTGCATATCCCTCTGTGTGAGGATGGTGGTCAGTAAACTTGTTAAATCTTGAACACATCCAAATGCTGACAGCCTCAGCGTTCAGACGAGGCAGAATTCAAAGTTTCAAAAACAATTCCAGGCTAATTCCCCTCACACTTCTCCTGCAGATTCATCAGCTGACCGTCGCATCTACCTTTTGAGATCCGAGCTGTGGGATCACTTTGCCGGAAATCTCGTTAGTCTGCTAAAAGCGTTTTAACCTCTGAACCTCACCTCGTCTGTCTCTTCGCCCTGTTTTCGCTCTCTTCCCTCTTTTCATTCGCTACCAGCCTCATTCTGCCCCACAACTGTGTGCTGCTCACCCTGCCTGCGTCCGCCCACCTCCTCTGCCCATCTCTCTGCTTCACAACAGGCTCCTCACCTGTCCGGACCCATTCAACAAAACCCACCAAACAGAGGCAGAGGGATTTGTGTCAGCTTTGTGTGATTGCTTCTTTGATAAATAAATGTGGGTTTTTTTGTTTTTTTATTCTCTATATTTCACTATTTTAGTATTGGCTTAAGAAATCATTAAATATGAATACTTAAATACAGATATTTATACATCTTTATACTATATATATCTATATATGTGTGTAGAATTAGAAATGTTAAAAAGCGATAACCATATTTTGTTTATCTTCTTGGTGTTTCATATTGCACTGAAAGAAGATATTTTAATATTATCCTTCCATCCATTTTCTGTGTTGGTGGCGAAGGGGAGGCTGAAGCATTTAAAAACATCATCCAGATCTTTTTTTATTACATCATTTAAAGAAAGAAAAACAAACGCAGCACAGATTTTTTATTATTTTCATATTTTTTTTATAAACAGTTATTTTTTACATGATTACAATAATGAAAAAAACATTGGCGTCTTGATTTCTTCACACACGTGTCAGAGACAGAGCAGAAGGGGAAAACAGGGATAAAAAGACAAGGCGTTGTAGATCGTTAAACTTGAAAAGTCTGCCTGGGCAGATGGGTTTACTGACAGTGAAAGACATTCTCCAGATTTTGACACCACTCTTTCTTCCCCCCGCTGCCTTTTAATCCATATTTAAATACAACTGCAAACAAAGACATTTCCCGTGAGCTCATCTGTCCCAGGCGACTTCAATATTTAGGACTAATATAGTCATTTATGGCTGTGTTTTCACTGTTGAATCAAGACAAGCCAAAAAATATGCTCAAATTAATTTTTGTAATCATACCTTCTGCTGTAGGTCTTTTTTTTTTTCTGAACAGGTTCTGCTGTATAAGTCATTCTTTGTCTACATTTTAAAAACACATCAAGCTATCGTCTTTCCTTATAATTCAGTCAAAATGTGCCTTAACAGATGGGGAGGAAACACCCCGTCTTCCACACCCGAAATAGAGGCACAAATGCAGTGTAATATAACATGGGATACTGTACGTGGTATGCCGGTGCTCATCTGGGGCATTCCCTTCTAACATGGAGCTCTGGATCCAGTTCCCTGGAAGTTGGACTTGATATGACTTGTCTGAGCAGACCTATCGTCAGCTCCTCAAATGTACAGTAGAAAAGAAAGCCACAGCTCCACACTCCAGAAGAGGGGGGCCCAGCATAGGCACCAAGCAAAGACAAATCTCTGAGATTTCCATCTGCATTTATATAGAATTAAATGACCATTTAGGCTTAAACGCTCAAGGGAGGGGGGGGGGGTGATGGAAATATTTTCACCAAGAACAAACTTTGACCCATCTGTGCCTTATCTAAGTACAAATCCAGTGTCAGGGGCTCGCTGTGGCGTTGTTAACCCCGTCCTGAGGTGCGGGGATGACTCACCGGGCTGATCCTTAGCCTGCTGTTATCTGTCAGCCTTTGTCACTAATACCATCACCTGGCTTCCAACAGGAGCCGGCTTTTTGTTGTAATGCTTTTTCTAAACCCACTAATGCCCGGAGGCTTTCAGCCTGACCTCAAAAACACAGAGGCTCCTAATATTTTACCGCAAAAACACGGCACGTTATTCTTCTTACCTTCAAATGGGGAATTTTTGATTTTGGACCCAGGTCCACTATTGATTAAGAGAATCTGTAAACATCCGCTGAACTTTAAATCCTTCTGACAAGTGAGTCCCATTTTATGATAGTGATTTATACCATGACAGTTAAGACAAAATCAGTTTTCCAACTCAGCACAAACAAGATGATTTTCACTTAATAGCTTTTAAATAGACACTTATTTTATTATAGGCTTTATAATATATGGAAAAAATACAAATGTCTAATTTCTATATTTGCCATAAAACACAAGAGGTTAACAATGTTCTTACATCAAAATTTATTCCGCGTTTAATAATTAAAATCTAATTATTTAATAACATTCAATTCAATGTAAGAAATGTAGGATCTTAGATTCTGTTTCAGAACGCGTCCGTGCTCCGCAGCGGGTTTGACCTTTTAAACAGATGCTCTGCTGCCACCCAGTGGTCATTAATTATTAAGACAGCCAGAAAGCCTTTGTTAGGTTTGTTCAATCGAAGAGGCATAAATAAAAAATAAAAACACAGATTTTGAAGCTAAGAAACAAACAAAAAGAGAAAGAATTTTACACACCGGAGTAACGTGAAAACACTTTCCAGTGGGAACTGTTTTTTTAATTTTTTTTAAAGGAACTTGTGGTAAAAAGCATTTGTTTTCCACTTAATTCAAAACACAAAATCTCAAGCGTTTCTACACACTTCACTGTTTCAATTTTTTAGCCAAATGTTGGCAGCCGCTCAACTATAATTACCATCAGTGTGATTTGTGGTGCTTTGTTTTCTTCTAAAAGGGTAGTTTCTCACACGAAGAAACCAAAGGAGGCCGGCTTTGCGCACTTTATTTATTGATCAGCTTCGGTGACCACAGACGAACCGCACACTTTTAGGCAATGACAGAGCAGATTAAAAGTTTGTCTGTGGCATCTCAGTCATAATAATATAGTTACAGGCGACTGAGTGTGAAGAAACAATAAGGTATACAGGCATATTTACAAGCTTTCCTTCCCAGACCCTGACTCCCGGACCAATCAGCTCCTGCTACGACAAGAAAAGGGCAGCGCATGCTGATGATCGTTGTTGTTCTAAATCAAACCAAAGTGTGTATATGTGTGATCTTGCACCCCCAAATTATCGTGATCCGTTTAAATCTGGCCAACATACAATTCAAATCCAGTAATTGTGTGGACCCCCAAATGAAAAGGGAGATTCTCCTTTATCTAATAATACAAGCGGTGATAAAAACAATCTGGTCTAAAACGCAGCGAGCTTAACCGTGGACTGCAATCGGTTTATGTGCGTGGGGGGGGGGGCAAAGATGGCCGCTAAAGGTTTGATGCAAGTGAAAAGGAAGCGGTAAAGAGGGAGGACGTTTGAAGATCATTTGGTCTCCTTTTTTTTGTTATTCCATCTATTCAAGTTTCTAACATTCCACTTAGTGAAAAAAGGCAGAAGTAGAGAGCAAGAGAGGGATGGCCAGAAAGGACAGCGTTAAACCACAAAGCCCCCCCCCCCATCTGAGCTCTCTAACCAACTCTTCAGTGTCCATGTTTCTGCGCCTTTATGGACCGAGCCCAAACTCTTTGACCGTTTATTTAGAAAGTTTCTTCATCCTCTGATCCAGTGCGCCGAAGTTCTCTTCAATGGCCACAAGATTTTCCTTCATCGTCTGCTGGACCTGAGGAGAAGAGCACAGGCGTGTTGAGCAAAACACGGAGGGAAACAAATAGGATTGAAAGTTTGCAGGACAGAACAAGCGCGACAACGGCCCGTTCATTCAGGAGAAATCTGGTGAAGTATTCCTGAATTAGAGGAATAAGAAAACGTGACAACAACTTGAACTGGCCACAGTTTCCTGATTAAGCGTTTCCCATCACAACGGCTTAGTTTGTTGTGTACGTTTCAAAAAGCGTTTCTTGAGTTGTTGAATCAGCCTCTTAAAGAGCATGCCTTTTCTTTACAAAGGCGTGTTCTGCCGGTCTATGGAGAGGCCACAGAGTCATAAAGCACCGGCTGATAACTGACTCAACCTGGGTGAGACTTTGGAAAGCTTCTGTCCTTTTTTTTTCTCTCTTTTACAGGGAAAAGCACTTTATCAGAGTGACACTTTGAGCCTTTCAGAGCTGCCTCCGCCACATTCTGAGGACACCGTCTCAAACTTTTTATCATTCCACAGACGGAGGTCATTGTCATGTGGCTGAGCGTGTCCAGGCTTTCTTTCTGCTCCGTACATTCACCGCTTTCCCTCCTGTGAGGAGAATAAATCTAAAGCTTTAGAAGATCTTCACCCTTTAATTCAGCGATTTATGCTTTAGTGTCTCATACGGGTTGAGAGATTTAAGGCCAGAGTACGACGGCAGAAAACCACAGGGTGCCGTACCGCGGCAGAAAAATCTGAAACAAACAGGAGCAAAGCCAAACCAGAAGCCCTTAACGGACCTCTGAATCCCAGAAAAGCCGGAGGTGCCTCTGCTCTTATCCCTGTCTTTCTGAAGCAGAGTCTGGCCTCCGGCTGAATGCGCCAGACTGGACCGCAGTGACCGGCAGGTGTGCCGGTCTGCTGCCACGCCTCCGGACAGCGCCTACGCCCAGGCGGCCAATCCAGGCCGAGGAGTGGCTGCTGAGCCCTCGTTTGCTCCGCATGGCTGTTCCTACCTGTGTTAGCAGAGTGTTGTTGTCTTTTAGAGAGTTGTTGATCATCTGCTGGGTGGTGTCCAGGTGGGTCAGCAGCTGGCCAAACTGCATGGCTGTGAGGAAAAGGGCCAGAGTTAAAAGGTCGGAGTAGAGGGCACAGAATTAAGATCCGTATTTGGTCTTTTTAAATAAGGCAGAGCAACTAGAGCAAATGTGACAGGTTACCATTTAAATGACTAAACAACTCTTGTGTTTCATGTTACCCTCAATTAGCTGAAGAGGGACGATTTAGCTGAACCCAAAAGAGAGCAGAAAGCCTCAGCAGAACACAGACTGTTGCAAAGAGAGGCTGGATGATTCATTCCCACTTAGGTTCCACTTTCATATGCTAAATAAGAAAAACACGATAATGTGATGTATAATATCATGTATCTTTCACCCCCTGAGGCGGTGGCCCCGCTTTTTAAGTCGCGCTCTCAGTGACTTTTTTTTGTCCTTTTGTATAATACAATGACATGGTTTGGGCTAATTCTATTCGCTGTTCTAATCCACTTTGAGTTTGGAATTTTCACCCATTATTTCACACAAGCATTTCCATTTCCCCCCATTAACCTACATACATTCTCTCCTTGAACTCTCATGGGTTTTATTTCAAGGGTGTAAAGTAACAGAGACGGTTTCTGTCTTGCTGCCCTTACCGGGGTGAAATTTCCCCCTAATGCAAGATCAGCCACAGCAACAGCGCGCAATTAGTTTTTGTTCCCGCATCAAGTAGAACGCTTCCACTTGCAAAAGTCAGTTCCTCAGCTAAAGGGCAGCTGTGGGAGCGGGCGGCGGCCGGCTGCTGGACGTTACCTTGCTCGTGGAGCTCCTTCACGGCTACGAGCCTCTGCACCACCTGGGGGATGGAGGTGGACACGGTGTCCCACTTCTGCACCACGTCGTACAGCTGGGACACCTGGCAAACAGACGGAAATGCGTGCGGATACATTGGGATGACGATCAGCACAGTTGTGCGGTTGGGCCTTTTCGTGGCAGCCTGGTTTCAGATGAGAGGCTGATTTGTCTGATCTGACACAAATACCAGAGCTGCCCCTTACCATTACCCTTATTAAAACTTTACTGTTGGACGCTGCCTGAGGTTCAAACTTGAATTCCTTCAGACCATCTGTTCACTCACTTAACTTAAAAAAAACACGTTATTTTACGACAGCACACGTCGCTGCACTAATGCTGCCTTTCATTACATTCCTTTGTATAATCCAGCATTAAAGTATATTTGTGTGTTTTTGTAAGGTATTAAATTTAAACACCACATTTTCTTCTAAGACCACAACGGATCATTTGAACCGCGGTTATCTTCTTAAAACTCATTTTATTAACGTAATTGTTTAATGTGCCTCAGGTCTCGCAGGTGTTGCACACTGTCATTACAAGAAACTGACAAACTAATTAAATAAGCCTGTGTTCTGATATCGTGATTTTCTAATAAGGATTCACCAGACAAAGCCAGCATTAAAAAAAAAACACAAGAAGAAAACATAACGCATGGCACTTTTCTTCAGTTGTTCATCTAACTCAGAAAAACATTGATTTATAGATATTTACAAGGAAATCTCAAAATCTCACACTCATAGAAGGCAACTTGCATGGCTAGAGGTGTCTGCACATTATGTTTGAGTATTCAACCCAAAAACATGCCGCCACCACAAATGCATTTATGATCTGCATTTATTTAGCATAGATGCATGTAGATTAACTGACCTTGTTTTGCGTTTCAGCATCTTCGATTGCTGCCTTATGTTTAGCAATCTCGTTCATCTTCCCAAGAACGCTCTAAAAGAGGAGAGACAAACGGTACATAGAGGATAAACAGTTCTTTATGCGGCACAAGTGGGCGAACCTGACAGGCAATGTTTGTTTAAGCAACACAACACTGTGTTAACTGAAACACTATTTACGTGGGTCACAAAACCCACAAACATTTGGCTCCAGTATCATCTGAAAATGTTCCATCTGCATTCAGGATGGTGACAAAAGCAGAAACAGGGGTTTAATTTCTGGGAACACAACACCCAGCTGTACATGCTAATTGTCATTGAGGACGCAGCAGTTAGTGCAACAAAACATAGTGTCGCTCACATTACTTTAGCAGAAACAGACTGTCACGTCTCGCATGCTGCCTCTGAATCTGACAAAATAGTAAACTAACACACTTATTTAAAACGTCGCTATCATTGGAAACTGTGGCCACAGAGTGCGGTGGACCCTGTAATGGCATCTGTTGTGGCAGTGAGCCGCCTGTCCTCTGGGAGAGTGAGGTGTTCTGGGCCAGGACTTATGATAAGCCTCTAGTAGGTGAACCCACATCAAAAAAACTGCTTAAATACTCTGCTTTTAATGTCAAATTTAGTAAGGTCTGTCCCTCAGTAGCCCGTCTCATCCAGTATCGCCTAGGTTAATCTCGTATTGCCCTATGATTTGAAAGTTTATGCCAAACGGCTCTGCTCTGCTAACCCTGGATCGGATGTTCGAAAAGGAATAATCACCTGCAGCCGTGCCTCCACTTGATCGAGAGTAGCAGAGTCCAGTGCGCTGACCCGTGCCTGCAGGAGCTCTATGGTGTCCTGACACAAAGAAGAGCACAGCACGCTGTCATAAGCCTCTCACTTTTACGACTGACACAATCTGATGTCATCTTTGAAGATGACCCAGTTCTCTGGCTGCACATCACACTGTTAGAAACTTTACAATGTGCTTTCTTTAAAAAAAAGAGAAAAAAACCGAAGTAAAAACCTAACTGAGTTCTTACCATCAAACTGGCTCCTTGTACACCAGCATTCAGAGGTCCCTTCAGTGTAAACACAAAGAGGAAACAGACAAAATTAAGCTTTACTCATAATGTACTCAGGTTTCTTTTTGACAAGCTGAAATTTTGCTGGTGTGAAAGAGAGAAGCAGATATGTATACGAAGTGTGGAGGAGAGACAAAAGCATTCGAGGGAACATGTGCGACTAAAGGCTGTGACTGTGTACCTGCTTGTCTGATCCTGAGCCAACAGCCATCTCCAACTCAGCTAGACGCTTCTCCAATTCCGCCATCTACAGGGAAGGAACAAGGCAACACATGGCTGGAAGGGGCAACAGCATCCCACAAGACAAACACACACACCCTCCAATCTTTTCTCCTATTAATTGTATCCTGACACGCGCCTCCTGAGAATGAATACAAAGTACACTGGGGACTTTGAGTGAGTGAAATGTTTGCTCAATTTCTGAATGCGCTCATGCAGACTCTTGACTCTGCCGTCTCCACTTTACCTTGGCCGATTCATTGAATTTTTCCTGCTCTGGTCTGCTGTGTAACTCGTAGAGTACCACTCCATCTGGGCCCTTTGTGGAAGCAGGCGGTTTGCTGTCTCCTGCTGGGCCGCCACGGCTGCCCTTAGCTGCCTCCAGCTGGGTGAGCAGACGCCTGTTGGAGGGAGGGAGAGGAGGACGCAGAGGGATTGAAACGTATAGTTCAATACAGTTAGCGTCCCTGTCGTTTTTAGGCGCAATTTGAAACGGAACGTGAAAGGCTGGCTTTCGCTCAAACCTTTTTAGTTTTTTTCTCTTCTTCTCCCCCCTCACATTTGTCTGTCATGTGGGAGGATTTTACCATCTCAGCATTTTGAGAGGATGCACCACAGCCAGATATGTACCCTTTGAATTTCATTCAAAACTTTAAAAGTTACAAAGACATGTACAAGTGTTACCTGAAGGCTAAAACAGTTAAATATGGTTGAGACATTATGAAAATAAATATATAGCCACAGGTGAGACCTCAGCTAGTAATGATTTGAACTAATTCTGGTCAGCAAAATTCCACTCTCTTATAACCAAAGATCCTCCAAGGTGATGGAGTTGACTGCAACTGTTGACCAAGCTTTCTCCTTGTGTAGGATGTGGTAATTCAACAGCTACATAACTCTATAGAGCGCTGTCTCCCTGACATCTAAAAACAGTGTGACCTTGCATATTCATTCTTTACTGGCTGGTGACATCCTGTAATGCTCCCAAAGCTTATTTATGGAATTTGGTACTTTGCCTATTAAGTATGTGCCACCTAACGTCAAAGTAGATTGATAAAGATTTCAAAGTTATAAGGACGTTATGCTCCCAGAAATTCACTAGATCTCACTCTGCATTACAGTAGCGTTCTTGGAGGAAGTATTTGAATCGGGGAGAACAGAACGGTCAATAGTTGATGCTGCAGTGACGGATGACACTAAAAATATGTCAACGGCTATGACAGGATTTTGACTACATGGAACAGACCCTCCAGCGTTCTGCACATGATGTCATTCTTAGCTAGTGCAGCCGGCCGAAAAATAGGAGGGAGCTCGAACAGAGGATGCATGTTTTTATCTTTTAGTCATAAGATTGAACTACAAGTATTTCATACAGGGCCTTTAGAAAGACAATGAACCTTACACTTTTGCTCCCCCACAAATATGCTCTTCATTTGATTTTTAAAGAAGAAAACACACAACACGCAATTAATGAAATGAGAGTAACACAAATGCAAGATAGTCTGAGAAACATCGAATCCTACTCAACTCTAGCATGGAGGCTGTGAGATCAGGTGTATGACTACATGATAGAACACAGAGGAACAACACTTTCTATAGGTTGGAAAGCCAGCTTAAAAGCACACGTATCACATATGCTGCAGACAAGACCTGCCAGTCATTCTCTCCACAAGTGTTCATCTTATCTTACTATTTAAGCAACTGAGTAGAGGAGTGAGCTCATCAAACACCATGTCTGTGGACATGATTCTCTTGGTATGAGATGCCTTTACATCTCAGAGAATGATGCAAACTGTGACACTAATAAATCATTTAAAGAAGAATATTTAAAAAAAATACATACAGTTTTAGTTTATGTAAAATAAATAAAAAACTGAAAGTGTAATTGAAGTGGAACTGCACTCTGATGCAAAGGAGCACGGCTTTGATGCAGACTTTAGGCTAAACGTAGGAGCCACAACAGACGGGGCCTCTAATGGAGGGTCTGCTGCTGCTGCCAGAGATGAGACGCAGCACAGAAACAGTTTCACAGTCAGAGAGAAGCGGGAAAAGGAGGCGTGAGAAGCTTATGGGGCTACAAGCTCTGCTGATGAGGTGGTTTCTGCTCACTTCCAAAGGCCTTCAGGATTGAGCTGCTTTAACAGTGCTGATATTGAAGAGAATGAGCAGACAGACAATCTACTGCAGGGTATATCCCCAGCTGCTGGTCACAGTTATAATGCAGTGGGAAGAATTCTCCTGACTGGAAACGGAGGCAGAGGGTTCAGAGTGCAGTGGAGGCAGCACATGATTCAGGAATGACTCTGTGGTAACTGTAGAACAGCAAACGACTGTCCGTGTTGATATCAGCTACACAATTATCTGATAATGGCTGGTGTACTCTTGGACTGGGTAGAAACTCTCCACAAGAAACCCGAATGAATGCTCCAGACCTTTTGTCTTCTCACGTGTCACCAGTGTGGAACATCTCAAGAATGCTTGTGTGAAAGTGTTTTTTATTAGCGAGCATTTTTTCCGCTCTGGCGCCCTTTCAACGACTCCACGCAGTCAAAGTAAAAGTATTTTGTCCGTTTGCAAGTAAAATGCCTCAATTTACTTTTCACTTTATTTAAAGTGGACCTGATGTATAATCAAAGATGCCATGCTAACACAGACTTGTCATCCACCCAGTGAAACTCACCTGGCAAGAGCTCCATCGGGATCAGACAGATTGATGTGTGCCTGTGGCCCCAAAAGTGAGTCTAGATGGGCAGACACCAGCTGCTGTTTGAGCTGTGCTGCCTGCTGGGCGAGCACCACCGGGGTGAGCCGCTCCTCTGCGTTACTGTCTTTCGCAGCAGCCTGGGAGCAGAGGGACCCAAAACACATTACGCTAAAATGTAATTCAAATCTAGCCATTTAAGTTGCCTTAAATCAGTCACTCGAAGCACGTTCAGACTTTTGACTTTGCTCTAAGAAAATTCAGACTTAGTAACTGGAGCGCCATCCAAACTTGTAAATGTTCAAAGAACTTAAGACTATTTCTAAACAAAGATCTACATATATGGATTGTATGATTGGTCACAGAAAAAAAGCCAGCATTACCCAATCTGACCATCTCCTGTCAATAACCTGATTCCCCTCCTACACACACATAATACTAGGCACGGACGTGTGTCCCGTAAATACCCAAGCAGAGTTGTAACTGTAGCTTGACTCAAATGTGCGAAATAATGTTGACAAACATCTCAAAGTAACTGCTGGGTAGCTTTTTTTGCTGGAGACACGTTTCCCTCATCTTTACAGAGGTTGCAAAGTTATTACAATGTCACCATCATTCAAGCTATGCAGCCATAATTTTCAGTTTCAGATTCAAGCTGGAAATTACCACAAGTGTCCTGAACCGTTGACACTCTCAGCGTTTATTAAATAAAATGCGGTCAAGATATAATTTTGCAACCCCGGTCAAATTCGGGGTATCGCGTTACACCCCGGTGCAGAGGATGATGCCGTATTAAAGTGTCTGTTCTTGGCAAGCTTCACCATGACGAGCGGGTGCAGTTAGAGAATGTAATTTGCTTTAAAAGGGCCATTCATAATTTAATATCGAGGAGCAGAGAAACTGCCTAATCCTCCTGTAGGCAGGCTGCACAGTCTGCTATTATGATCTTATGATCTGCATGACCTCAAATCCTCAGATTCTCTAACAGAAAAAAAATGCTGGGATGCAGCCTGAATTATAATGTGGTGCTGGAAGCCCAGAGCAGCAGACAGGTGCATCCAAGTACATAAGTGTCTTTTAAAAAACTCTTACTTTGTAAAATCTTAAATCACAATTTTGTTCAGGTGTAAACTTAAAGCTCCCGAGCACACATTGGACTGAGGTTTCAATCAAATATCCAGGTTTCTTTGTGGAATAATATCAACATTTTACATGGTAGAAATAGTTTAAGAGAAAATAAAAATCTGTTCTGGATTATACAAATGATTACTAGGTGTGAAAGAAATGGAGAAAGGGTCCTTCAAAGGTGAGGGTCTCTGCACTTATGTGAAGACATATGGTTTCAAACATCACTCCTTGCAGTATCTTTTGGCAAACATGGTGTGTGTGTGTGTCTGTTGTGAGCAGTCCACCTGGATGGCATCCACCTCCTGAGTGAGTTCCTGGATCTCATTCACCAAGCGCTGGTACTTCTGTTGGGGCGTCTCTTTCACTCCGCAGCCTTCTCCGAGCTAAATAGAGAAAAGAGTAGAAAGATGGCATGAATATTACACAAGAGCAAAGTGGATATGCTCACAGATGGAGCAGCCCTGAGAAAAGGATCACACAAAGCAACCATCTCTTGCCCTTTGCCGTTATTGGAAAACGCACGCAGTGAAGTAATATAAAAATAATGGTGTTATTATCCACAAAAATGGATCCCATTCAAAAAGAATGAGTGGTAATGGATTTTTTATCAAAAGAATATACTCACAATTTCAAATTCTCCAGACTCATAGCCAACTCTCCTGCTTTTACTGATTCTGTCTGAAAAGTCTGTGAAAAGGACAAAAAACTGCTTTAAAAAAAAAAGAGGTTGAGAAACACACACTAAACACTAACGGACATGTGCATAAGAAGCATTTTCTTTCTCTAAATAAATCGGCTCATTGAGAAACACAACAAGAGCAACCAGGAAGAAGCTACAGGTAAGGCTGTCAGAAATAGATTCAAAAAGAAAGAAGAATCCTCTTTCAAAATTCCAGCAACTAACAAGTCTGTGCCCCCCCCAGTGGGTTTGTGGGACTGGGAAACTCCCTTACAGACAACATGTATACTGTCTTTATTGGCTGCATTACCACTGTAGACAAAACTTGGGGGTGGGGGGGCTGTCCAAGAGTAAAATACATAAATGAGGGAAGAAAAGGAAGAAAAATGTCTGCGGGAAGTAAGTTTTCTAGACTAGTTATTGTGCAGCTGATTTTCTGTCTCCTGGTTCCAGGAAAGCTGGTGCTTTTATTACAATCAACCTCATTCGCTGTGATGCAGACACACAAAAAAGGAATGGTTACCCATCACCAACACTTATGATGGGGAGGTGTATAGTGGGATATGCAACTTTTGAAGTGACATGTTTTTTTTATTCTGGCAGGTCAGTCATAATTCCAAAAGGACCATTACAGGCCATGTTCTGCATGACTTACTACAGCGTGGCTTCATAGGAACACATAGTGGATCTGACTGGCCTGCAGCAGGGCTGATCCCTGTCATACCGATAACATATGGGCACACTGGAACTAAATGGGTATTGCAAAACTATTTTTTTAACGAATCATACGTGTAGTTCAGGGAAAAACTGAGAATTCTTACTGTTGAAGGATTACATTAAATAACTGTGTGTAATGAAGGTTTCAGGAAATCCGGTATGTGTCTTCAACTATCAAAAACTCACCAAGTCCCTTAGCACTGACATGCTTGTCTTTGAACTTATCATAGGCTGCATTGGGGTTGACAACAATCCTCTCCACACTGTCACTGCAAAGCTCCTCCTGTCATTAAAACCAGGAAATGATGTCAAATGAAAATTAATCAAATCAAACAGTATATTAGTTCAGCAAATACATTAAAAAAAGAAACGAAAAAAGGCTCCGGGCTTACCGAGCCAGGAGCCACAAAAGTAAACATTAAAGATACACTTCAAATAAGACAGAAGAAACCTGTACTTGATCAATGCCCAGTAAAGGTTTTTATAAAGATTTGGATCCAAGTGTATAATACATCAATGTTAGATACCCTCTGCAATTTGTCCCAATAATCCCAATGAATTACAAAAATCTTCAAGAGCTCCTCAGATCATTTCAACATAATGTAGAAGTAGCAGGCAAGAAATCAGCGAGAATAGTGATGGATGCCACAGTTTTACCTTTGTAAGACTGTGGGATCTTATCACCACCGTTGAAAAGATTCAGTATTTATCTTACTCTACAATGATGACACAATGTTACATGAACAAAAAAAGCAGAGCCATGGCTGGAGGTCATTCACTCTTCTAAATGACACTGCTCTGATTAATGATACTGAACGTATAAAATAATATGGTTCATATGATCACAACTTTCTAATGATCAATAATGGTAAACTAGAGGCTATGAACGGGATTAGATCAAGACTGACACACAGAACAATGACAAAAGTCATAACACAGATTTGGATAAGATGACACACAAAACAAAAGAAGTTCCATAGATGTTTGTAGAGAGTGGAAGAGGAGGAGAGTTAGCTAGGCTCTTACCAGCTCCTTGGGTTTCCAAAGAGAGTTAAAGAAAATAATGGAAAAGGAGAAGGGGGAGATAAAAGTAGGGAGGGAGAGAGAGACAACACAGATTAATGTGGTTATCACATGCCATGCACACAACAGGAACGCTTGGCCAGGGTTGGGGAAGATAAGAAAGAAAGCACTGTTCTGGGAGTCACAGCTAAAAACCCTGGAGATACTGTGTTCAGACAGCTTAAGTCTCCAGTTCTTTTCCTCTTCCCTTCTTGAGGGTGGTGAGATGTTGCACTAATGCTGCAGAGTTACTCTCTCTTTTGAAACCATTTTCTAAAAGAGATTTGTATTAACAACGATCTCAGTATGACGGGTAACAGGTGGATTTCTAAAGTTGAACAGATGGAAGGACACAAAGGAACTGTGTTGGAGAGCTCACTCTTTAAAGCATGTAGCTCATCTTAAATGTGTCAGTCAGACTAAACTAGAGCAGGCAGAGTTAAAGCCTCTGTGCTTTGTGTGACTTTAAACCTCCTCAAAGAAAAAAAGCCTGTATTAAAAGAACCTCGGGTCCAAATTCAATTTTGCTGCTACTACTTGATACCACGTAAGCAAGCAATCTGGACATGACACAAAACTAAATGAGACTGCAGCTCACTGTAACTAAAGAGAATAGACAGTGGAAAACACGGGTAGTTTACACTCAAATCTATCGCAAACCTAATTCAATTGATGTTTAAGCTGCACAGAAGTGTCCAAATCCGGTCCTCGAGGGCCAGATTTGGACATCCCTGCTTTTCAGATACCAGTCTGTGGCATCCATAAATGATGTAGAACATACTGGCCAACAGAACCAATGATGAGGATTTGGGGGTAAAGTATCAGGCATTCTCCAGAAAATGGAGGTAAAACAAAAATCAGCTTGTGGATCTATGGCTCAGTAATAAGCCCTGTGCCATAATCAAAGCTTAATTTTTGTCTGAATACTTTACAAAACGTGGAAAAAAAACAAGAGTGGTTACCACAGGACATATTTCTGCCTGCATTTCTTTCCTGCATTTGCAAAAATATACATTTTTGAAAGAATTACAGTACATTATTCTATGTTTTGACTGTACCTGTAATATCCAACTTACAATCCTCCTGTAGGCACGTGACATGCAATGACCCAGGAGGAATTTATCACAGAGTGTAAAGAGACCTTTAGAATGTCCAGTTAGTCAAAATACTAGGGTTAGTCAGGAAGCAACTGTTAGAGAATGCCAACAGATTAAACAGGTAAAGGCTGAAATAAACCATTTTCTCTCTTGTGTTAAGTTTCATTCACACACACAAAGTGAGTCAGGATAACTGGGTACGCATCATCATCATTGTCGTCAGTGTCCCCTTGAGATATATTTGTGAGCAACACCAAAAGAGAGAAATGATTCTTTTCACGTTAAAATAATAAAAAGCTGATGAATTTCAAAGCAGAGAAAGCATAACACCATTGGTCGAGTTCTCATCTCACCCCAATCAACAGATGTAGAAAACATATACATGTGTAGATTAAAAAGAGTAATAACCATGCACAGAGAGATATTAAGCTCTGAAGGAAATATGGATCCAGTCTTACTTGTACCAACTATGGTCCCAGAAGGGTGGGGAAGTCAAAACAGGCAAGGGAATGGGAAGAATGAATGGGAAAATGCTAGTTAGGATTCACTTGGCTGGTCAGTGAAGAGCCCAGACATGTTTAAGGGCAAAAAACAAATACAAACAGGGTGCTCAACAGTAAGCTCTCTGTTTTTGCAGATCAACCATTTTCAGTTAAAAGTAGGATAACATTTCTGAGCCACAATATTCCTATCACAATACACAACAACATACAAAGACAAATAGTTGTTTTTATGTATACTTTTAAACACTGTTGGGAGAAAAGGTGAGAGCATTTAACACTTATTGTCTATGATGCACGTGACTTGCCAGCCTCTGTATAACGTGTTGTGTTGTACAAGGTGAGGGAAATTTATGGGAAGAGCTGAATTAAGTTAATATTCATCATAACCTAATTCATCGTATTATCTTTGAAACAAAGAGCAATTACTGAAGTAGTTTACTGATCATTTATTATCCATCCTCATGAATAACAGCACAAAATAAAAAAAATGAATTATTAGTTGTACAGTTATTAGGTGATATACTAATACAGAAGCAAAGTAAGTCAACTACGATAAAGGAATCAATACTTGGTCCCCTTAAGAGGTGTAAACAATTGTTAGCTCGTTAGCTATCAGCAAAACAACTATTTAAACAAAAATCTAAAGACAGATTACACACATCGTCCACTTACCGACTCAAATTGAGCTTGGTCATCTTCTGGAAGGTCACCGGTCTCGTACACGTCCGGCTCGTTGAATGCCTACAGAAGGAGTAAATGAAATGATTAGCAGTTGTACCGTTTATTTCTGCTAGCCTGGCCAACGCCCCGGCCCATTCAACAACACATATCTACTATCCATTTATCTGATGCGTGTCTAAAGACACCGAGTAGACTAAACAGCCACAATTAGTTGCGCTAAATGTAAATTAATAACTAACAACAGAGCGAACGGAGACGTGGACAGCAGTTTAGTTAGCTAACGTTAGTATCCCCGCCAGGAGCTAGCATGGCCACATAACAGTATGACAGTCTAGCGATGTGTCTGCTAGCTTTAGCCACTTACAATTCCTGGTAAGTTTACGTATTTAGGATCGGCCATTGTCAACAGGGAACAAAAATTCGAGCAAACTGAAAACGACCGAATACTATAACAACGTTAAAACGCTTGAATTATTTAAGCCCTGCGAAGGACAGTGACAAATGCTATCGATGGATGAGCCAGCAGTCTCTCAGCCGGTGGAGCTCTGAAGGCTGATGTGGTCACTAGCTTGATTTGGCTGTGTGTGCGCTTGGTTTTTCTACATTAGTTGCAGACGGGCGGTGCCATTCCACCTCGCCTTTCGAAAAGAAGCGTGACGGCCTACAGTTGTAATAAAAACAAACATTCCTGAAAACGGAGAACGTGTTCACGCACTGATTCCGTTTATCCAATAAGATTTACAGGTGCCCTATTGTTTTTATTTTTAATGTGGCTTATATTTTATGCAGTTATGCAGTATTTTAGGAAGCTGTTTCCTATGTTTGTTGCATTGAGATTGTCTTCTCTTACTAATCTGCATCGGTAGTAGGCAATAGGTTGGAATTCATTCTTACATGTTTCGTGTTGGCTTGTTTCCGAGTCCTCACATGATGGCGCTAAAGGCATAGGTGAACAACTTAATGGGAAAGGTCTCCTCAATATGAAAATGTATTCACTCCACGCATAAAATCGACTATTACTAATCTTGTGCAGTGTTCCAGGTAGAAATGTTAGAAATTATATGTTTTTCATTATTTTTTATAACCACTATACATTGTATATTAAAGTTGTTTTAAAACGGTATTTTCATTGTGCAAGCGAGGAGAAAATGTTTGCTGACAGATAAAAAGTCTATTTCTGGAAAAATTATTCAAATCTTTTCAACAACCAACATTCGAAAAACGATTCATTTCACACTGCAGTGACTTGCCCAGTCAATTTGAGTCTCGGATGGAAAAAATTATAGAGGATATGGTTCTCACACGACCAAACAGCCATGCAAAATGAGCAGCCCTGTGCGAACCAGATAGAAAAATAAATATGCCTCCTGCTCTCCAGATGATTCTTCTCCCCAGCTTTGGGTGGTTCAAAGTCACATATGGGAACTTTTTACGGTGAGAGCAAATTTCAGGTAAATTAAGGAAAAGAGTTGGAGCTATTCTCCCTGCTCCTGGACGGCTGTGCTCAGTGGTGCTGATGAGGGAGGATGCGAGTCGTTACTCCACCACGCCCCGCCCTCGTGGAGAGAGCGGGGATGACAGTGATGCAAGGCATGCCTCCGAGACGCCTGCAACCTATTCACACAGACAGGATCAGGATGGACCGTACTCCTCATTTCTAACTCTGCATATGTTCTACCGCTCAGCTGCATATTTTGGTTTGAGCGCGTTTCCAGACTAAAACTAGTCTTGAGCTGCTTCTTTTGTGGTTTTGGGTTTCATGTTTGTGTTGTGGTTTTGGACGCAAAACTCGTAGTTTTTTTTTCATTACTCCAAATCCCTCGTCTACCAGTCTCGCTTTGCATGTGGCTATAACGTTTTTTTTTTTCAGCCTGCGTCCAGAAGCTGTTCCACAGGGGATATTATTTAAATACTATTTAGCTTTTCTAAATTCCTATTTTTCTATTGGAGGATCATTTTCACTATTTTACCTTCACAATGGCTGGTGCCAACGCTGAATGCAATATCAAAGTGTTGTGTCGATTTCGTCCACTGAACCAGTCCGAAATTCAGCGCGGAGATAAGTTCATCCCAATATTTCAAGGAGAAGACACCGTCATCCTCGGGGTAAGTTATTTCTAACGATTCCCTCTTTTTTCTGGCACCTTTCCAAGCTGTCGATAGACGCTAAGGGTTACTCTTATCATCTTACACTCGTGTCAGATCCTGGCCAGACTGAAGACTGGAAGCTTAGAGGATTTTGACGGGGATCAAACTAAGTGTCGTCTCCATCACTACCATCGATATTTGCATGCTGCAACATCTATCTGTATACTGATGCATTTAAAGGAGAGTAAGGCTGTTCAAAATCTGACATCAGGTCAAGTCTTGCAGAATAAAAGTCTATGAATCAAAAATGAGGAACAGTCATTCAATGCCATTTTTGTAGACTGCTGATTTGGCTGCATTGGCTTGTTTTTCAGAAGAAAAAAATCATTAAACTCCCCATAACCCTTATCAATGAAAGCAATCTAGACCCCACCTTCTTGATATCTTGGTTGCTGGATTTTGGTGAGTAATCAGCATGACTGCTTGATTGATCCCCTGTCTGATTTATGGTGTAGTCAGATTTTAAATGCAGTGGCAATGTTAGTTGATATCACCTAATATAAATCTAATCAGAGAGATAATCATGCTCTGTGGGTTACTTCGGACTAGGAAATTGATTCTGGCCATATTTCAGTAGAAATTGAAAAGAAGCTAATGATTACTGTCAATGCTTATGAGCAGCAATGAGAAAGAACCAAGCTATAAAAACGCTCAGTCTGATGGATGCACACGCGAGGTTGAGGTTAACAGTGTGAGTGTGATCCCGCACCACTGACATTTTGGATGAATTAATTAAAAACAGGGGGGTGACTGGAGTGTGAATATTTCACATGTGAGCCAAGGCTAACATGCAGGCACACATACATCCATGAATGAACTGTTGTGTTTGCACAAACTGACATGCACGCATATAGAACATTATGTATATCAGGCATACATTTCACACTCCCAGCACAGCAGTTGCTGTCCACTACAACGCACAGACACAAAGACAGTCAGAGAGCGAAACCCACACCCTTTTATCTTGAGGCTCGACTTCCAAGTAATGATTGGGACAGCAGAGAATCCCTATCGTCTTACTTTATTGTCTCTACCACACACACAAACATACAAGAAACAGGATTGTAGGGTTCATATCCATGCATGACTGTTTTGCGTATTATGGTTGTGGGAGCAGGACTTCTCCCAGGCTAAATAATCACTGTTTCATGTGTTAATTACCATGTTAGTATGAGGAATTTTATAGAAATCAGTTTGCGAGCTTAAAATCCTTAATTCTAGCATCAGTATCATCAGTAATTTGGGTGTGTCGGAGGAGAGCAGAAGAATGAAAATGTGATTATAAAATTGTTATTCTAGATGTTACTCGATTTTAGGTGTTACAGAAAATGTTGGCGCACTGAAGCAATTTATGTGAAAAACTGAGGAAACACATGCTGTTTGTGTTTAATTGCCTGCTGTTTATGAAGCTTGAAACTGTTTGTATGGAAATGAAGAATATATCACTCAGTTAAGTGTGATCTGTCAAAGCAAAAACCTGCTTTGGTTCCCCTGTCTGTATGCATGGCAGCAGGAAACTTCAAAAACACAAAGGTGATGACTTCTGAAAACAGAGGGTGCCATGTGGTTATATTTTATGCCATTTTGTGGACCAGCCGCCTCTTCATGTCCCTCTTCTCTGTTGAGTTCATTTTACAAAAGCTTGTTTGCTGTTTTCATATTTGTGAATGTAAGAATTCTGGAGACATATGTGCATTGTTCAAATGTGTAAACGTATTCAAGGTTTGTATTTTCCTTCTAGTATGAAGAAGCTGTAAAATAACTCGTCCCCTGGGATTTAGAATGTTGTCACGTTGGATCTGTGTTTGAACTGTAAGGCCAACAGGCAAGCTGGCAGGCTGCCAGGCTGTAAGGCCCAAATAGGGGAAGTTAATGCTGACGTTGTTGTGATGGCTGAGAACAACTGGGCTGTATGTCTGGGCCGTGCTATTGGCTGCACATTTGTCTCAAGGAAGGCTTCTTGTAGAACTTGTTAACTGAAGGAGGGAGTGATTTGAATGGTTGAGTGATGGTTTGGCTTCACCTAAGTGGCAGGCAGGAGAAGACTTGAAAGGATTAATGATTGCAGAAAAGTGTGTGCTGGTTTGCCCCGAGCACATGAGGGAACATCTCTGGGGCCTAAACACTGGTGAGATGAGGTCTGAATGCAAGGCTGAAAACTGGACAAAATAAACGGACAAAATAAAATTATAAATGTTCAAGTAGTTGAACTTATATTTGTGCTTTGATATATATACAGTTTATATGAATCCATTGGAAAATACACTATATTGCCAAAAGTATTTGCTCACCTGCCTTGACTCACATATGAGCTTAAGTGACATCCCGTTCCTAATCCATAGGGTTCAATATGACGTCGGTCCACCCTTTGCAGCTAGAACAGCTTCAACTCTTCTGGGAAGGCTGTCCACAAGGTTTAGGAGTGTGTTTATGGGAATTTTTGACCATTCTTCCAGAAGCGCATTTGTGAGGTCGCACACTGATGTTGGACGAGAAGGCCTGGCTCTCAGTCTCCGCTCTAATTCATCCCAAAGGTGTTCTATCGGGTTGAGGTCCGGACTCTGTGCAGGCCAGTCAAGTTCATCCACACCAGACTCTGTCATCCATGTCTTTATGGACCTTGCTTTGTGCACTGGTGCACAGTCATGTTGGAAGAGGAAGGGGCCAGCTCCAAACTGTTCCCACAAAGTTGGGAGCATGGAATTGTCCAAAATGTCTTGGTATGCTGAAGCATTCAGAGTTCCTTTCACTGGAACTAAGGGGCCAAGCCCAGCTCCTGAAAAACAACCCCACACCATAATCCCCCCTCCACCAAACTTTACACTTGGCACAATGCAGTCAGACAAGTACCGTTCTCCTGGCAACCGCCAAACCCAGACCCGTCCATCAGATTGCCAGATGGAGAAGCGCGATTCGTCACTCCAGAGAACGCGTCTCCACTGCTCTAGAGTCCAGTGGCGGCGTGCTTTACACCACCGCATCCGACGCTTTGCATTGCACTTGGTGATGTATGGCTTGGATGCAGCTGCTCGACCATGGAAACCCATTCCATGAAGCTCTCTGCGCACTGTTCTTGAGCTAATCTGAAGGCCACATGAAGTTTGGAGGTCTGTAGTGATTGACTCTGCAGAAAGTTGGCGACCTCTTCGCACTATGCGCGTCAGCATCCGCTGACCTCGCTCCGTCAGTTTACGTGGCCTACCACTTCGTGGCTGAGTTGCTGTCGTTCCCAAACACTTCCATTTTCTTATAATACAGCTGACAGTTGACTGTGGAATATTTAGGAGCGAGGAAATTTCACGACTGGATTTGTTGCACAGGTGGCATCCTATCACAGTTCCACGCTGGAATTCACTGAGCTCCTGAGAGCGACCCATTCTTTCACAAATGTTTGTAAAAACAGTCTGCATGCCTAGGTGCTTGAATTTATACACCTGT